ATACTGAACACACACTAAACTTGTGATATGGCGTTATTAATAATTGGAGTTGACTAATGAAATAATCATAATTCATAATTGTTAACTGGACTTAGACAGACTCAAAAACACCAAACACTTTATAACAAATACGGCTGAAGTTTTAATCAAAAGGTAAAACAAACAATAGTACACAGAACCTGTTCACCCAAACAGTGTGTTCATGTACGTGGTCGGAGAACACACTGAAACACACTGACACACTGTATTTGTATGTGAGTGTTTTGAGCAGAAACTATTCCCTACTGGAGTTATCCTAAACTTAATGTTCACTTGGTGCAAAACATGCCATCTACCTAACACTTCTTTTGATTTCCACCAATCAACACCCCTGAGGTAACAACTTCTTCCAAAATTCCTATTTTTCCAACTTGATCAAACTCATAGACACTTCACCTACTTGGTCAGGCTGTGACGAGACAGGTAAGATTTTATTTATATTGCTACATTTATTTCACCATTTTAGGCTCACAATTTCTGATTTGTTTTTATTTAAATGTTGTCATTGTAGCATTGCTTTTGGAACTACAGCAGTCTGAAGAGTTGCAACTCATCAGCATTTAACTCTTTTTTAATCCAAATGTCATGGAAAACAAATCTCACAAGATCAGTTTCCTCAAGAGTGCACAATCTTGTGATAATTTTATCCCATAATCATCATTTTGTCCCATCCCTACTACTACCTACTACTACCTTCTCATTACTGCTCTGTTGTTAAATACGTACCCGTTTATCTTCGGGAGGGGTCACAGTGGAGTAAAGAGCATTGGCACTGGATGTATCATTCCTGTCAACAGATAAAGACAAGTTAACGGTATTTACTGCAATGGACAGAAAGTTTGTTCTTTCCTGTTAAACTGACCTCTTCATTTTGAATCTGAAAAACAAAACAAAAATAGAGACACTTGATTATAGAATCTGATATTAGAGAAGATCACTTTGATTTTGTTTTGTAATTTTACTTTATGTTCTACTGCCTTTATTTTAAAAAATGCAATTCTGTAACATTATTCAATGTTCTGGTACCTGTAAACAATGAAAGCACAAACGATGATCAGCAGGGGCACCAGAGCCAGGCCAATGTACTTGACAAAGTTTTCTGCACACAAGAAACACCATCAACTCTTCAGCCTCAGGTACAAATTTTATCATGAAACATGAAATGATCTTAATCTTAATAATCTTAAGCCTTTTTGATGAGCAAAAGACCAAGGCCAGTACATAGACTGTATATATAACTGGACGTAGCTAATGTGCTAGCCGAAGCATTCCAACTAGGAAGTTTGTGCTAGACACTTCTGGCTCCTACTGACCCTGGCTCCCACTGAATTACATTGGAATATTGTGAGTCCTCTCTCTGTAACCTCAGCAATGACTCCTGTCATTTTGGTCTTAAAATGCCTGTATTCAAGATCTTGATGTTTTTATTCTGCTATTTGTTGTTCAAAAAAAAACTACTCCTAGTAAGGGGCTTGGCTCCAAATTCTCCTCTTAAACCATTAGCATCGCAAGCTTCATCTGACAGGAGCTGAACACTATGGGTGATATCACACTCACAGTCTATAGGCCAGTTACACTGCCTAGACTAGCTTCCCCACGGGCTCGCCTTGGAGCTAGATCTGGGGTGGGTACTCAGAGGCAAATGTCTGGGGTCCACGGGGCTCGGGCAGGCACAGCCTGAAGGAGCTGCTGGAGTTCACCTCGGGGACAGGTTTTTCACCTGTAGCAATGCAGAGTACCCGACCTTCCTGGAGTCTGCGGGAGGGGTACTAGACAGTGTACCGACCGGTTGTTCTACTTGGGGATGTCAACAGCCATGTGGGCAACCACAGTACCCACTGTCACAGGAGAGGGAGGAAGGGAGAGACAGGGAACCCTAGCAGTGTCTTGTTATTGGATGTCTGTGCTAGTTGCAATTTGTCCATAACAGAGGGTGTCCATCAGTGAATGTGGCACCAGGACACACAGGCCGATGTGCTGATCAGACTTTGTTGTCTGGAAAGACCTAGCAGAGCCAAGTGTATCATGAGGGCCTGATGGGAACACCTGATGGAGCCCTCTGTCATGGAGACCTGTGAGGAGCTCTGTGCTTCACCAACCCTGTTCACAGTGGGAATGGAGATCTGCTGACCTCACCTGGGGAAGTTATTAACCTGTAGAAGGAATAATTTGAGGATCTCTAGATAGTATGCTCTAACTACAGGAGAATCACACTCCTCAGCCTCAGCTGACCTGGTGAGGTCTATTCCAGGGACTGGAGAGGAGAGTCCGACCCTGGTTTGCAGCTGGGATGAAAATCTGTTCCTCCAAAGCTAAGGCTATGATTCTTGACTGGAAAAAGGTAGCACCCTCTCCAGGTGGTGGAGAATCCCTGCCTCAAGAGGAGGAGTTCAAGTATCTTGGGGTTTTGTTCACGAGTGAGGGGAGGATGGAGCGTGATATTGAGAGGCAGATTGGAGCAGTATCTGCAGTGATGTGGTCACTGTATCAGACCTTTGTGGTGAAGAAGGAGCTGAATCAAAATGCAACGCAATTTACCGGTCAAAATATGTTCCTACCCTCACCTATGGTCATGAGTTTTGAGTAATGTCCAAAAGAACAAGATCTCAAATGCAAGTGGCCGAAATGAGTTTCATCTACAGGGTGGCTGGGCAATCCTGTAGAGATGCCCCCGTGACCTGGCCAGCGATAAGCAGAAGAAGATGGATGGAATGGAATCAGAAAGGCTTGGCTATGTTTTTTGCTAATACCACTATTATTATATGTGGAGCAAAAATGGAAATGGGAAGGAAAACTTTACATTTAATTTAATTAATTTGATTTTAGGCAGAATTTATGGGAACCTCACACACAATTTAATAATAATAGTTTTAAAGCTGATTTATTTTAAAGTGTAATTAAAATATTAATGCTATTGGTAAACTGTGTCCACATTTAACAATGTAGATCTTTGAACCACTTGCATAAATAAATCATTTTGATACTTGAATTTCCCTGATCTTTAATTGTTTTGGAACACCTTGTCATTATGTTGAAGGTGTTATAGTGTCTCCTTACCCTGTAGAAAGAGGCTGACTGGCTCAGACGTGCTCTCACTGATCTGGTTCTTGGCAGTGCAGTAGTAGACTCCGGGCTGTGTGGACAGCACAGTGTAGTTGATGTTCTCAGACACTTTGAGCTCTCCGTCCTCCGTCCTCCTGTACCAGGTGTAGAGGTTGACCGGGGGGAAGCTGTGGCTGTTGCAGCTCAGAGTCACTGAGCTGCTCCCATCAGGGCCCTGCTCCTCCTCTGCTCTCAGCACCACAGCCTGCTTTGGACCAACTCAACATGCACAAGGCGCTTTTACTAAGTGTGGAATTCACACACACATTAGTGCCAGACTAAGTTTTCTGTTTAAGCATACTCACACATGACTTGAACTTCAGCTGGTGGAGACGTTCCTTGTCCGACCTGGTTGTGGGCGGTGCAGCTGTAGAGGCCACTGTCGTTCACACTGACTGAGCTCACACTGAAGGTGGGCCCCGTGTGCACAAGGGGCTCCTGCCCCGTGGGGCCCCTGCTCCAGGTCACTGAGCTCACAGGAGGATGGCTCAGAGCGCTGCAGTGTAACGTCAGTGTTGTGTTCTCTTTGACCATCAGACCTGGATCAGCCTGGACTCTCACCTTCTGAGGAGCATCTGCAGACACACAATACTGTACTTATGGAAATGTAGAGTGACTATAGAAGACAGACTCTTTTCCTGAACACCTCCATAAGATCATCATTAAGATAACAAATGTTCTGTTTCATTCCATTTTGGAATCGTTCAGAGCATGTAAATGTATGCAAATGTCAATCTTAATTGTCATGTAAGTAAATACAGACTGGCCTAATTGTGAAACATGTAAAACCCAACTTGACCCACATTTGACGGTGAGTGACCTCTTGGTGCTGTCTGAGCCCACACTGTTGTGGGCGGAGCAGGTGTATTCTCCTGAATGGGCAGAGGTCACAGTGACAGAGTAGATCAGAGAGTTGTGCTCAGTGTCTCTGAGCAGCTCCACTGGAGAACCCTGTGAGGTCCTGCTGAGGGTCAGGGTGGACACTGGAGAACTGTCCACACGACATGTGATGGAGACATTCTGTCCCTCTGTCACCTCTGAGTCCATGGACAGAGTCAGACTGGTGGGAGAATCTGTGGAGGAAACACCATAGTCACACACTAACACAGAATTGATGTTATCTTACATGTTTTCAAATGATACTGGCAGAATACTTTGTGCTCATGACATCATTTAGGATCAGGGGTGAAAGTACTTGATTTTGTTTCTTAAGTAAAAGTACAGATACTGGAGCAAATAAACACTCAAGTAAAATTATCACATGAAAAATATACTGAAGTAAAAGTATTAAAGTATCCATTTAAAAATATACTTAAAGAGTACAACGTAGAAGTATTTCACACAGATTTTGAGGTCTAGTGAAGCTTCAAATGTAGTGATTTTGATAAAGATTTGCTGAATTTTGTTCAACGAAAAAAAAAGTTTTTTTTCTCGCAGCTTTTATTTGTATATTCCTCCACATACAGAAACCTGTTCTCAAATGTACTGAAGTAAAAGTAAAAAGTATCCACTTTAAAATGTACTCAAGTATAGCATTTTACTACTTTTACTTTGTTACGTTCCACCACTGTTTAGGATTACTGACTAAATTCATTTGAACATTCTATTCTGAACAATTTAGTCTGGTGCCTGTAGTTTGAACTGAATATTATGTTTGAAAAAGCAGCCTACTGACATTTGAAATCAGTTAATAACAAATAATTGTGAATTATGTCAAACATAAGCAAGTCTAATTGTACATAAAATGGACATTTACACAAACCCATTATAAAACAGCTCATAAAGTTATGAGCTATTCAGATATACACCACAGATAAGTATAGTACAGTCAGAGAGAGTGAGGACCCAGAGTGACTTACAGAGCACCTGTATACACAGGTCTGTGCTGTAGCCTGATCCGTGTTTGTTGGCAGCTTTGCAGATGTAGCAGCCCTCGTCTGCTCTCTGCACTTTCTTCAGCTCCAGTCTGTTTTCAGTTGTTCTCTGAAGATATTGACTGCCTTTATACCAGTAGTATGTGTGAGGAGGAGGGTTGGCATCACTGTTACATTTGAGAGTCACAGAGTGACCCACTGCTACTTCTCTGCTCTGACCAACTATTTCAATGTTGATGTTCTTTGGTTTGTCTGCAACAAATAGAGTTTTTTCATTACTTTTTCATGAACATAAAATCAACTGCCATTTTGTCAGTCACATCTACAAAACCAGATAAATACATTAAACAGATGAACATTGGCCTAGGGTTTGTTTGTGTGGCAGCATCTGCAGGCGCTGCAACTCTTTTCTTTTAGATAATTTGGGTAAAACATTAAATTTATGTAGAAGCACCCCTCTCTCTTGTCACAGCTGTGTAACATTAACATCTTGTTTACATATGTCTTGACTAATGCATAGGGGAGACAGTTCTGAAACTCACACTCAACATCTATCTGCAGTGGTCCTGACTTTGCAGAGGACACAGTGTTTTCAGCGGAGCATGTGTAAGAGCCACTGTCTTCAGGCTGCAGAGTCTTAACATACGTCTGTCCCCAGGACACTCTCTGATCATTTTTATACCAGTTATATCTATGAGGATGGGGGTTGCTCCGGATCACAGTACAGCTGAGTGTAAGTGTCTGGTCTTGTTTATATGGAGGTTGAGGTGAAGACACTCTCACCTCTACAACAGGTGCATCTGAAACAAAAGGGAAGTGTATGAGCCAATTCAAGTGTATAATGACTTTGTTATAAAAGTGTCTTACACTGAACATCTATGTGGACAGAGTTGGATCTTTCTGTCCCATGTTTGTTTTGAGCAGTACAAACATACTCTCCACTGTGTTCAGTCTGAGCTGAGTCAATTTTCCAAATGGCTCCACTGTGAGAGGAGGACCTCCTCTGGTTGTTCTTGTACCAGGTAAAGACTGGGGCCGGATTTCCTTTGGCCGAACAAGTCAAAGTTACAGAATGACCCTCTTTAACACTAGTGGAGCTCATTACTGCCTGTGTTCCATGAGGAGAATCTACATAAATGTAGATATATCACAATTATATAGTGTCTTTAATTCATATGTCTTTAGTCACCTGCACATGTTAAAGAAACAGTCCAAGTCTAAACTTACACTCCACTGAGATTGAGATCTTCTTCATCAGCTGTGGGTTCTTGTTTCCTCGTGTTTGACAGGTGAACTCTTTGCCGTCGTCCGTCCATGAGGCTCTGTAGGATGCAGTAGCAGAATAACTGTAACCATACTGAGATGTTCTTAAACCAGACGGAGGAACAGTTTGAATTTCCAAGTTTTCAGAACATGAACTCGGAGTAGAACATGTGAGAGTGATGGTTTGAGACTCTTGTACAGGTTCTGGTTTGTTGAACGTGATTGGACATGGGTCTGAGAAGAGAAAAAAAGTGCTAATTTACTTTAACTCAGGATTTATTTTGTGAAGACATTCTTATTTTAAATTAAAACTCAAACCTTTACAGACACAACACAGATGTACTTGCCTGTGACTGAAATGACAGCATTATTTGTAGTCCATTTAAAGTTGCGCTTTTTAAGGCTATATCTGAAAAAATACACTCCTCTGTCCTGTTCTGTCAGATCACAGATTCTAACACTGCATGATGGATTATTGGAGGATGAGGCTGTATTCTGTAATCGTGTAGATCCAGTGTAAGTGACTCGGCCTCTAAACTGTGGACTGATGGGGAGTTCTCTGGGCTTGTTACTGTAAACAATAGTGCCAGTGTAACCAATTTTACTTCCATTCCGTTTTCCATCCTTCATCCAGAACCACAGAGCATCTTCATCAGGTAAAACTCCAGTGACTTTACATCTGATCTCCACACATGTCCCCACAAGGGCATTCAGGGAGGTTGTTTCTATTTCTGCATAACTGACTGAGTAACAGGTAACAGCTGATGGAAATGAGTTTTTAGAGTTAGTTTTTAAGTCACAGTTTATCATGTATAGATAAAATGTTACTTTCTTACTTACCTTTAACCATCATCAGAAGAACAAGGCAACTGATTTGTTGGGGCATCATTTTCCACCAAGTCTTTTAATTTATCTGTGGAGATACATTATGATACATTCTGAGCTTTTGACCAATTTGACCATTAATTTGAAACAGTGCTTGCATTAGATTTGTGATTTATAAACTTAAAACTCAGGTATAGTATGTGTAGCCTGCACTCACACTGGAACTACAGTCACATCTGAACCTCGGTGCCAGAGCCTTAACCTGCAGACAGAGAGCAATATACAGTACTACTTAAGTACAACATTCAGAAACTCCCCTCTGGCATTTTTGGCAGTTAAGAAATTATAGTTAGATTCTATTATAAATATTTATTAAACTAAAAAAAAAAAAAAATCCTGTGTGATTATTTTTAAACCACTACATTAATTCTCCAGTAACTTCTGCTTTGTATTTTAGAAGTGGAGAAAAGCTTTACTGGACATAATTTTTAAAACTTGTTTTGTAAGAGCTAAGAATAGCCACACTTCTTCCATAACTGAGCATCATATAATATTATTTTTGTCCGTAATACAAGTTAAAACATAAGCTTTTTTGGTTGATTTTGTATTAAACTATACATGTTATGAATGTTCCACAGTACGGCATTACATACAGTATCTTGCATTTGGTGTTTTTATTGTTAAAAAAATAATAATAATAAAATAAATTAAAAAAACTACTACTGTACTGTAAACTGGCTGCGTCTCCACAGATCTGACCTAACTTTGTCTGGTGGTAGTCTCCGTGTATATATAATTAAATGCTTTACTATGGAACATTCCAGGGCAATCAAGAACATGGAGACAAGCAGATGGCTGACCCCCTATAATTTAGTGAATATATTTTTGTAATCTTCAAAACTTACCACTGTCCTCTCTTGTCTTGTCTTGATGAATGAGGAAATTCAAGCATCAAACATTTATATGGTCCCGAAAGAGTTCCTCTTCAAAGCGGAACTGACAAAAAAGGGGGCTTTACTGGTTAGGGATGCACCATAATATCGGTCACTAATCATTATTGGCCGATAATGTTAATCATGATGTTACACCGATACTTCTGATGATAAACATTTTCACTAATAATTAAAAGCCCAAAAAACCATGATTCAGACACTTTTTCCTCACCATGGTCTCTCTTTCAGAAATGATGCCATTTAAAAAAAATAAATAAATAAAAGTGTTAAGAGGGGTGAGAACTCCCACAAAGTAAAGTCCTGTTCTGGAGTGTTGTATGTCAGAGGGCCGGCATGAAAGACAAACCATCAAAGCATATAAGAGCTGTGTGAGTCCCCGTGAGGCACAGAAGTGTAGCCATGATGCACCCTGCTGGTGTGGGACATACACAATCTTAGTCCCACTGATGCCCAGTGCTAATGGAAAAAGCCCAGGAGTGTGTCACGCAATGTCATGTCAGTAGAACTTTTTCCTTCAAAGGTGCCCCAGGGCCAAGGTCAGTTTGAAAGAAAGTAAAGTGGCTGCTTCTGCTTCTGAGGTATAGCAACACGGTAAGGAAAGGTATTTTATGTTGATGTGATCTTGTGTATGTGAACACCATCTTTACTAAAATTCAGATCTACTAATAACTTATTGTTGTCTGTCATCCAGGTAAATCTGCATTGCCTTGGTTGGGGTAAAACTGAATATTTCCTGCATTAACAGGTGGTGCTGCTATAATTATGTGGGCAGAGAGTTCTCAAAGTACTAGTACTAGTAGTAGTAGTAGTAGTAGTAGTAGTAGTAGTCGATAATTGTTATTTCTTATGCCCTCTACTGATCACACATTGTTAAAACAAAAATATCCATAACTTTACAAACCAGTTTAATAAAAATAACTTTAGTTTATATACATACATTAAAAATAAATCCTCCGAAAAATAGAATAAAACAAAATTTAAAAAGCTGTGTGAAAGGCAGAGCTAATACATGATGACCACCCACCAACTCAATATTTCAAGGGACCCCCCACAGTCTCAAATAAACCACAAATAAAGAAATTCAACCAGGGGAGACAGATGAGTGAGGAGAAGGACAGGCTGAGGAGGCTGATGGTTCTACTGCTGCAGTGAAAATGGGTTGAGATGCGGCGTATGTAGGCAGTGTAAACTGAGTTCAGACCTGGGCATCAAGGCGTCCAGTTTATATGCAAAGTTTATGTGGACGCGTGTCTATAGTGTCTTTAGTTTTTGCGGCTCGTCTTCAGGTGTCAGCATCTATGCTCTGGATATGCCCAAGGCGTTGGCGTCAGAAGTAGAAAAAGCAGAACTTTTGATGTCAAGCGTGCCAAGTCCACTTATCAGGGACTACTATCTAGTAACATAGCGACGTTGTTATCTGGAAGAAGTAGAAGAAAGAGAAAGACCCGGGGGCCACAAACACTATAACAAGAAATCTACACCATGTCATAAGTAGAGTATAAATATATATATATATATGCCGCCGTGCTGATCGCCATCCGCTGATGGGTTTTGTGAAATAAATACACTAACTCGACCACTCTCTTGACCAGGAAAACAAGACACTCACAAACCACAGTGGATGCTCTGGACGTGCATCAAGTATTTTTCTCCTGTTCATCCATGGCATCCAAGACGCACATCAGGGGCGTCTGAACTCAAATGCAAAGGCGTCCAACTAGAGGTGTCCAGCATATTTTTGATGCTACGGTCTGAACACAGCTTAAGGGTGAAGAATACAGTGTTCCTGGTTTCATTTACAGTTTTTCGTGAGCTTCTCGTAACTGCTCCTAATTATGTTTAGAAGTTGAGCCCTGAGTACTCCTCCTCCGCTGCCGTCACTTTCCTCCTGAAGTTCACCTCGGAGTAATTCACATCCACCTCATCCTCACTGCTGTCTGCTGCAGCTGAACAATCCGCCTTTTTTCTAACATTCTCATAGACATCTCCTGCTTCCTGTAACACAAAATAATACACAGGTTTCTGACACTGTCTTTAAAGCTGCAATATGTAACTTTGCTTGTCTTTATGGAAGAGTAATTGCTTTGTCTGAAATATTCCACAGCATGGCATTAAACATCTGTCCAATCTATCCCCAATCTTGTAACGCTACCAGGACAAGTTACAGGTCAAATCTGTGGAGAGGCGACACAGCTCACAGTAACAACACATTTTTCAAAGTATTTTTGAGCCATTAAAACAGCTGCAATTTATTAAGTGTGAGATAGACAGAGGTAGCCAAAAATCAGAAGCACAAAGAAGTGGTCCAAGAAAATACTCAAAGAGTTAAAAGTTTTTTGGGAAAACTAGTGTTCAAGTAAGAGTAACTTAAAGTCAGGTAACATCTGACTTACAATTTGAAGTTAAAGTAATTTGAAGTACAAAAAATTAAATAATGCACAAAATCTGGTATTTTCAACGGACAAATAAAAAAATTTGAAAAACTACATCATATCCGAAGGAGCGGTGCAAGAAACAAATAATTTCAGACTGTCAACCTAAAGCTTTTGTCACTTGTAAACTTATTCTCAGTGGGATGAGTAAACCAAGTAAGACTACTGGTACTTCAGTAAAAATATTACTCAAGTAGGAGTATGCTGCTGTGAAAAGTACTCAGAAAAGATAACAAGTAAAGAGTAAAAGTAACTAAGTCCTACCCACCTCTGAAGATAGATTAGTTTAAGACCATACTGTGGAAGATTCCAAGTAAAACAATAGCCTCTCCATAGCTGACACTCTACCAGAAAAGTTACATAATTCAGCTTTAACCAAAATGTGTGTAAAAAGTGCATTGGTGACACTTGGTTTACCTCATGATGCTTCTTTACAGTGGAGTAGACGACTTCCTCTCTGTCTTTGGGGATCATAGCCCTACAGACAGATTGTAATGTGAGTCTTTTACTGGATGGACTTTTACTCATGTTACTGGGTGGAACTTACGATCGGTTCTTGTCAAAGTGCAAAGAGGCATAGAAGAGAGAGTCTGCGTTTTGATCACTGGTGCCAGGACGGCTCTGAGAAGTGAAATCGTGGAAAAATTTATTCATGAATTAGACTGTGATCACCTAAAATGCAAATGGTAAGGTGGTCATGATGTCAAAAATAAACAAAAAAACAAAGAAAAATATAGAAAACCAACTTATTATTTTTTTCCCCTCTGACTCAAGCCCTCTACTCTACTGACACAGAATCTTTGAACACAAGTGAAAAACATGAAAGGGTACAAATTGTGGTAAGCTGGTATTAATCAAATAATTGTTGACTAATGAAATAATCATGATCTGATAACTGTTAACTGGATTTTAAGAGGCTCAAAAACACAAAAATGTTTTATAACAGCAGTTTTAAATAGGTGAGGCCCACCTCCCCCTGGGGGTACCAAAGAGCCACTGGAGAGGTGAAACATACATGTGAAGAACAAATAACGGTCCACATCTGTACACATCTGCAACAGTATTGATATCGGTAATTGTGCATGCGTGTATTAGCTGTAAAATGCATCATTTTCTGATTCCATCTCAACAGAAATCAGCAGCAAGGGAGGAGACAGGATCCAGCCAAAAACATAGGAAATATGATTGTGATTATTTAAAGTTCAGTTTCACCTGGTTAGGTTAGGTTTGCACCTCTGCCACAGACAGAGACAAAGCACACGAATTTAGTGAACAAGCCAGTTGAGTTTTTTGAGAGGAATCGTGATGATTTGCAATCACAGAAAAGCATTATGCAATAGTTTGGCTATAGTAATATCAAGGAAAATGAAGCATCTTATCGTGTAGTGAAGGCAGTCAAGCCCCATAACACTGGAGAAACATTGCTAATTCCTGCTATTTTGTTCGAGACCATATGCTTAATATCAGACCCATACACGTGCCGATATCAGCCATCAGGTGTCGCCAGTGGTCATTTTGGCACCAATTACAAATCTTAAGCATGTTCTGTTGATTTGGATAGACCTACTGATGTTCAGTAAGGTTAAAAGTAGCCTCAATTAGGCCTGCATGAAGTTTGAAATTATTTGCTTTTGCAAAAATAATTTATGAATGCACTTAAAAAAAAATATATGTAAATATACATTAGCACCGGCCCTCTTTGCTCTGTATATGCTCCCCCTGGGTGATGTTTTTAGAAAGCACAATGTCACTTTTCACTGCTTTGCAGATGATATTCAAATGTATCTGCCAGTGACTGCAACTGATAGCCAAAGCACTATTAAAGCTCTGCAGGACTGTCTCAGGGACGTACAAACCTGGTTGAGCGCAAACTTCCTGAATCTAAATCATAAAAAAACAGAGATTGTGGTGTTTGGGCAAATTAATCCATTGATTGGGCAGGACAGTGTGATTGGTCCCCTGTCCTCATATTGTCTTCCTGCAGTGAAGAATCTTAGGGTGATTGTGGACTCCACGTTCAAACTGGACAAGCACATTAGCGCTGTGATTAAGTCCAGCTTCTTTCAGTTAAGGCTCCTCACTAAAGTAAAGCCCTACCTCCCACGGGCAGAGTTCGAAAAAGTGATCCATGCTTTCGTGACATCACGCCTGGACTATTGTAATTCTTTATATGTAGGGTTGGACCAGGGCTCCCTGCAATGCATACAACACGTCCAGAACGCTGCAGCTCGTCTGCTGACAAATACTAAAAAATGTGAACACATCACACCTCTTCTGTGTGACCTGCACTGGCTCCCTGTCCTATACCGGGTGCAATTTAAAATGTTGTTAATTGTTTTCAAATGTCTGCACTCCATGGGTCCAGTCTACTTGAGGGAGTTACTGCAGCCCTATACTCCCCCCAGAGCCCTGAGATCAGCTCCTGTTGGTCGTGCCCAAAACTCGTCTCAAGACAAGAGGTGACAGAGCTTTTTCTGTGGCAGCGCCCAGACTATGGAATTGCCTTCCTCTTGCTGTCAGATCCTCTCAGTCTGTAACGCAGTTTAAGACAAGACTGAAAACTCACCTCTTCTCCCTGGCATTTAGTACGAGCTAGTCAGGTTATCTTGGTAGTTTTAACATGTTTTCTGTATATTTGTATATGTAACTGTTTCTTCTATGCTGTTGCTGTTGACTTGTATGTGAAGCACTTTGGTCAACTGAAGTTGTTTTAAATGTGCTATATAAATAAATTTGAATTGAATTGAATTGAAAATACAATATTAAAAACGATATATAAAAGATATATATTATCAGTTGTTATTCAAACTCATCATTGCCATAATTGCCAGGAACACAAAAGATGCATTTACTTCAAAGACCTGTGTGGGGGAGGGCAGGCAGATGGGATTTTATTGAAGGCTCACATCTTGAAACCTTTTGGGTTAAAAACACAGAGTACAACAGCAAAAATCTTTTGACCAATCATAAAAAAAAAAAAAAGCAAGTTTGAATGTTAACAACATGATGCTTTCTCAGACACATAGACCACAGAGGTGGGACAAGACAGAAGATTAGGTTCCACAAGATTGAGACAAGATGAGCTTTTAGATAATTTAGATTTGATATTTGCAGCACTGAGGTGCTTGCCCATATGCCAAGGGCATAATGTTCAGCAGTTACCATGGTGACACTATGCACACATTTGGAATAACTACCAAAAAAGTTTTACGATTGTCTGAAAACGCAAGAAAAAAATATAAATTGGATTTAAATAACATACTTTCTGGAGCCTGTGATCGATACAAGCATTCAGGGTCCTGTTTAGGAGTTTGATTTTCAACAAAAAGATGAGAGTGACTAGAGTGTAAGAGTGAAAAACTATTGACTAGAGCTACTGCTGGTGCTCTGTTCTTAAATACGTACCCGTTTATCTTTGGAGGGGTTCACAGTGGAGTAAAGAACATTGACACTGGATGTACTGTTCCTGTCAACACATAAGGACAAGTAAACAGCATCTTCCCTGAGTGAATACTATCAGACATTGTGTTTGTGCATTCTCTTTATCTGTTTTTACTCACATCATGTCTGCTCTCTGCTGAGGTGGTGGGACATCTCTCCTTCCAGGTGTCTCTGCATGGACATCCTCTGAGCAGCCTCTGGAGCTGTGCCATCGTCCCTGAACACAAGATGATAATAAACTTTTAAGTCTTTATTTTGATAGAACAAGTTTGTATGTGGCTTTCAGATTCTAGATTAAGTCACACTCTCAAGTGGAGGGACAAGTACTTCACCGGTATTTCACAAAAAAATAATGTATCCATAACTCTGGCAACACATTCCACCCTCACAAACTGCATCTCCGAAATAAAGTACTACAGTCTAACTTCCTCCAGCTTAACTGCGACAAAACTGAAATAATCATTATCAACCCCAAAACACTCCTCAAAATCCATAATAACTTCACCCTCCCCAGTCCCCTCCTCCTCCCACCTTCGTAACCTTAGCATCTTCTCTGACCAAGACCCTCTCCTAGGAACACCACATCAAACACATCATCAAAACTGCCTTCTATCACCTTCAGAACATTGCTCACCTCTGCCAATCCCTCTCCTGTCAGTCTGCCAAAACCCTCATCCACGCCTTTGTCACCTTCCGCCTCCACTACTGCAATAGCCTGCTCTACCCTCCAAACTCCTCAACCGACTCCAGTATATCCAGAACTCTGCTGCCCGCCTCCTCACCCGCACCTCCTCCCGTGAACACATTACCCCTGTCCTCAGAGATCTCCACTTGCTCCCCATCGCCCAGCACATCCAATTTAAACTCCTCAACATTGTGTACGAGTCCCTCCATAACCGGGCACCTACCTGCCTCTCTGAGCTCCTCCACCACCACACCTCCACCTGTGCCCTCTGATCAGCTGATGCCAACCTCCTGTCTTCCAACACCAGGACTAAACACAAGACTTGGGGAGACAGGGCCTTCTCTTCTTCTGCTGCTGCCCCCACCCTCTGGAAATCCCTCCCCAAGCACATCAGAGACTCATTCACACTCCCCATGTTAAAAAAGCCCTGAAAACCCATCTCTTCAAAACCACCTCTCATTAACTGTCTTTTTCTTTTGTTTGCCTTTGTTTGTTTCCTCATATAAAGCGTCTATGAGTATCTTGAAAAGTGCTATACAAGTGTTATGTATTATTATTATTGTGACACAAACAAAAGGGTAACCTCATTATTAATTTCTATTACAAATTCAATGTACTGCATCATACATATAGATATAGAAAATATTACCACAGCCTTTGAGCAACTCCTCCACCATGATTTGTTCGTTCTTTCTTCTTCAAACGACCCCTTTATTTTCAGTCTGAAAAACAAAACTAAATTAAAGACAGATTGGAGAACCTCTTATAAGATTTGATTTTTTTAGAATGTTTGCCTGCTGCGTGGAGATGTTATTGCTGTGTCTATGTTACACAGCATGAGATTAAATTTATTATCTCCATGGAAACAAGTAGGTGGTCAGGCCAAGTTACAGGTCAGATGTGTGGAGAGTACAGATATTTTGGTTGGCCAGTATATACTGGGACAATGTTTGGACTTTTTTTTTTTTGTATTAGCTTTTGTTTTGATCAATCTGCTCCTTAACTTTATCTTTAATATGAAGAAATAACTGCACAAAATGTGACTACAGCAGCTTTTTTATAGGTTTGTTGTAAAAAAAAGCAAAAAGAACCATGGGTGAATTTGTTTTAAATTTAAATACATAATTTGGGGAAAATAATCAAAATCAGCCCCAAGTAAAAATATCGGCAGAGCTTATTGGCCATTGTTTACTCTGGATTCTTAACTATCAATATCAGCGTTGGCCATAAAAAATAAAAAAAACTACATACTGGTAGATCTCTAGTCTCCACTAGAGATCTACCAGGCAGCACAAATGCATGTTAGTCAATGTATTTTTAAAGTAATAAACCATTTATGATTAAATAAATGCAAGCTGGATGAATGTAAAGCCATACTGTGTGAAATTCAACTGTAGTAACAGCTCCATGGAGACCTCCCACACACACAAAAATTACATGGTGCAACTATAATAGTTTTTCTTCCTTGATTTTTAAAAATATATTTTTTTTAACTTGATTTGTTTGATTTGTCATCAAATGCCATGTATTATTAAACAAATGTGGTTCCATAACTTTACAATAAAATATTACTGAATATTTGATGGTACCTGTAAACAATGAAAGCACATAAGATGATCAACAGAGGCACCAGAGCCAGACCAATGTACTTCACAAAGCTTTCTGCAGAGAAGAAACACCATAAACTCCAATCAATCTACACATTTTGTAATTTTAACATGAAATAATCTTAAACTTAATAATAAGCTTCCTGTTTTTGCCTGAGGCTAAAATAAATAACAAAACCACACAAAATCAGAAAGGTTTGGCCATTGATTGGTTGGTACATTGATAATGCTGCTATTGAGATAAAACTGATAATATGATAATAAAATCTGTAGCAAAATAGAAATGGGAAGGTTTAATTAAATATAATTTTGGTTGCATAATTAATTGGATCCACACACACTTTCTGTTTTAGTTTTGCAGTTGTTTATAAGAGGACTTTTTTAAAAAGTGTAATTAATATATACATGCAATTTCAAAAATGTGTCCACATTTAACAGTGTAGATCTCTGAACCAAATACATAAAAAAAATACTTTTGATGCTTGGATTTCCAGGACACCCTGATCTTCACTTGTTTTGTTGTTATTGTGTTATAGTGTCTCCTTACCCTGTAGAAAGAGGCTGACTGGCTCAGACGTGCTCTCACTGATCTGGTTCTTGGCAGTGCAGTAGTAGACTCCGGGCTGTGTGGACAGCACAGTGTAGTTGATGTTCTCAGACACTTTGAGCTCTCCGTCCTCCGTCCTCCTGTACCAGGTGTAGAGGTTGACCGGGGGGAAGCTGTGGCTGCTGCAGCTCAGAGTCACTGAGCTGCTCCCATCAGGGCCCTGCTCCTCCTCTGCTCTCAGCACCACAGCCTGCTTTGGACCAACTCAACATGCACAAGGCGCTCTTACTAAGTGTGGAATTCACACACACATTAGTGCCAGACTAAGTTTTCTGTTTAAACATACTCACACATGACTTGAACTTCAGCTGGTGGAGACGTTCCTTGTCCGACCTGGTTGTGGGCGGTGCAGCTGTAGAGGCCACTGTCGTTCACACTGACTGAGCTCACACTGAAGGTGGGCCCCGTGTGCACAAGGGACTCCTGCCCCGTGGGGCCCCTGCTCCAGGTCACTGAGCTCACAGGAGGATGGCTCAGAGCGCTGCAGTGTAACGTCAGTGTTGTGTTCTCTTTGACCATCAGACCTGGATCAGCCTGGACTCTCACCTTCTGAGGAGCATCTGCAGACACACAATACTGTACTTATGGAAATGTACAGTGACTATAGAAGACAGACTCTTTTCCTGAACATCTCCATAAAATCATCATTATGTTAACAAATTTTCTGTCTCATTCCATTTAGGAATCTTTTAGAGCATGTAAATGTTTGCAAATGTCAGTCTTAATAGTTGTTAGAGTAAATACAGACTGGCCTGATTGTGAAACATGTAAAACCCAACTTGACCCACATTTGACGGTGAGTGACCTCTTGGTGCTGTCTGAGCCCACACTGTTGTGGGCGGAGCAGGTGTATTCTCCTGAATGGGCAGAGGTCACAGTGACAGAGTAGATCAGAGAGTTGTGCTCAGTGTCTCTGAGCAGCTCCACTGGAGAACCCTGTGAGGTCCTGCTGAGGGTCAGGGTGGACACTGGAGAACTGTCCACACGACATGTGATGGAGACATTCTGTCCCTCTGTCACCTCTGAGTCCATGGACAGAGTCAGACTGGTGGGAGAATCTGTGGGAGGAAAATTATAGTCACACACTATCAAGGTTATCATACATGTTTTCAAATAATACTTGCAGAATACTTTGTGCTCATTAACAGACATCATTTAGGACTTGATTTTGTTAAGTAAAAGTACAAATACTGGAGCAAAGAAATATTCAAGTGAAAGTATAACATGAAAAAATACTTCAGTAAAATTATTAAAATATCAATTTAAAAATGTACTTGAATAGAAAGTAGAAGTATTTATTTATTTTTTTTATGTAGTGAAGTAGAAAGTACAAGATATCTTCTCTCAAATGTAATGAAGTAAAAGTAAAATGTATCCACTTTAAAATGTACTTAAGTATAGTATTTTACTACTTTTTCTTTGTCACATTCCACCACTGTTTAGGATTACTGACTAAATTCATTTGAACATTCTAACAAAACAGTTATTAACAAATAATTGTGAACTGAGTCAAACATGAGCAAGTCTAATTATACATAGAGCGGACATACATAAACCCATTATAAAATGGCTCATAAAGTTATGAGCTATTCAGATATACACCACACATGAGTATAATATAGTCAGAGAGAGTGAGGACCCAGAGTGACTTACAGAGCATTTTTATACACAGGTTTGTGCTGTAGCCTGATCCGTGTTTGTTGGTGGCAATTTGCAGCTGTAGCAGCCCTCGTCTGCTCTCTGCACTTTCTTCATCTCCAGTCTGTTTTCACTTATTCCCTGAAGATATTGACTGCCTTTATACCAGTAGTATGTGTGAGGAGGAGGGTTGGCATCACTGTTACATTTGAGAGTCACAGAGTGACCCACTGCTACTTCTCTGCTCTGACCAACTATTTCAATGTTGGTGTTCTTTGGTTTGTCTGCAACAGATACAGTTTCCTCATTACTTTTTCATAAACATAAAATCAACTGCCATTTTGTCAATCACATCTACAAACAACAATCCAGATAAATACATTAAACAGACCAACATCGGCCTAGGGTTTGTTTGTGTGGCAGCATCTGCAGGCCCTGTCACTGTTTTCTTTTAGATAATTTGGTTAAAACATTAAATTTATGTAGAAGCACCCCTCTCTCTTTGTCACAGCTGTGTAACATTAACATCTTGTTTACATATGTCTTGACTAATGCATAGGGGAGACAGTTCTGAAACTCACACTCAACATCTATCTGCAGAGGTCCTGACTTTGCAGAGGACACAGTGTTTTCAGCGGAGCATGTGTAAGAGCCACTGTCTTCAGGCTGCAGAGTCTTAACATACGTCTGTCCCCAGGACACTCTCTGATCATTTTTATACCAGTTATATCTATGAGGATGGGGGTTGCTCCGGATCACAGTACAGCTGAGTGTAAGTGTCTGGTCTTGTTTATATGGAGGTTGAGGTGAAGACACTCTCACCTCTACAACAGGTGCATCTGAAACAAAAGGGAAGTGTATGAGCCAATTCAAGTGTATAATGACTTTGTTATAAAAGTGTCTTACATTGAACATCTATGTGGACAGAGTTGGATCTTTCTGTCCCATGTTTGTTTTGAGCAGTACAAACATACTCTCCACTGTGTTCAGTCTGAGCTGAGTCAATTTTCCAAATGGCTCCACTGTGAGAGGAGGACCTCCTCTGGTTGTTCTTGTACCAGGTAAAGACTGGGGCCGGATTTCCTTTGGCCGAACAAGTCAAAGTTACAGAATGACCCTCTTTAACACTAGTGGAGCTCATTACTGCCTGTGTTCCATGAGGAGAATCTACATAAATGTAGATATATCACAATTATATAGTGTCTTTAATTTCATATGTCTTTAGTCACCTGCACATGTTAAAGGAAACAGTCCAAGTCTAAACTTACACTCCACTGAGATCGTGATCTTCTTCATCAGCTGTGGGTTCTTGTTTCCTCGTGTTTGACAGGTGAACTCTTTGCCGTCGTCCGTCCATGAGGCTCTGTAGGATGCAGTAACAGAATAACTATAACCATACTGAGATGTTCTTAAACCAGACGGAGGAACAGTTTGAATTTCCAAGTTTTCAGAACATGAACTCGGAGTAGAACATGTGAGAGTGATGGTTTGAGACTCTTCTACAGATGCTGGTTTGTTGAATGTGATTGGACATGGGTTTTCTGAGAAGGGAAAGAAGTTTTATTAGTGATTATAATTTATTCATAAAAGATAATAAAGACATTAACCAAAAAGACAAAAAAAAACCCAACAAAAAACTAAACTTTACATAAAAATACAATCATCAGCCATGATTCTAAATGAAAGAGTGACAGTAGATGTACTTGCCTGTGACTGTAATGACAGCATTATTCCATGTACTCCATTTAAAGTCCCGCTCCTTAGAGATATATCTGAAAAAATACTCTCCACTGTCCTGTTCTGTCAGATTACAGATTTTAACACTGCATGATGGATTATTGGAGGATAAGGCTGTATTCTCTAATCGTGTAGATCCAGTGTAATTGACTCGATGTCTAAACTGTGGACTGATGTGTTGTTCTGTGGGCTTGTTACTGTAAACAGTGGTGCCACTGAGTTTGCCTTCATCCCATTTTCCATCCTTCATCCAGAACCACAGAGCATCTTCATCAGGTAAAACTCCAGTGACTTTACATCTGATCTCAACACATGTCCCCTGAACAGCAGTCAGTGAGGTTGTCTCTATTTTTATATAATCGGCTAAGTAACATGGAACACCTGAAGGAAAAGATAAAGACATAAAAAGGTAAATTTAATCAATGCATCCTAAATATAATTATTACAAAGTCCAATTCCATTTGAAAGCTAGGGCTATTGTGAATAAAGCATTGTGTGAACTCAAGATCATTTTTACATTTTCATTAACTTCATTTTATAACATTCAGTTGATATGATGAAGCCAGACATCTCCAGTAGAATTAATCCATGATTGTGGTCGAGCTTTTACTCTCTACAAACTCCTTCTAAAATGTCATCATCTTCATCATCACCATCTAAATTTTCTTCAGTTTAATATGCATTTTTTTAAAGGACCTCAATGGATTTGGCTTGTTTTTTGTTTGATTAATTACTTTAGGAATTAGTTTTTCTTGTAATAAAGTAAACTATGTCTTGATATATTATGATGCATTATATACATACCTATAACTGTCATCAGAAGAATGAGCCTGCTGATTTGTTTGCATTCCATTCCTCCAGAAATCCAGCTTTGTCTATGGATTTTCTTTCACAAGTAGTGTTTTTTGTCTTCAAGAATGTGATGTCATACTCCCAGAGAACAAGAGGCAGAATTCACTATTGACAAGGTGTTATTCACATGGGAAAGAGGTAAATTCACAAAAGTTCACTCATTTCTATTGGTAACTAGATTCTACAACTCTTTATCTCAACAAAAATTTGCATTGTGATCATATGATTTGTAGCTACATACATCTGTTTTAAATATGATTGTCCAGTATGTTATCATGCTGTTTTAATCATTTGAACCCACAATCGATTCGCTTTGAAAGTAAACTACGGAAAATATTAAAAAATCTCAGTGTGTGCCAGTGTGTGCCATTACCGTCTCCATATTATTATTTCCCTTAATTGTCTATTTCTTGTTTATTGTCATTTTTTGTTTTGTTTTTGTATGTACCTGATCTTGAAGAACACATTTTAAGTTATGTTAAATGCAGAGAAATGTAAGTTAAGATTGCAATAGACAAACAGTTAAATGTACAAAATAAGGCTTCATAAAAAGTTTAGATTAACAGTAGCATTGCAGTTTAAAAAAATCACACGATGTAACACATATCATTCCTATTACTTGTTCAAAAAAACACAAAAACTCTTAAAATCTAAAATTTAAACATTCAAAATTTAAGACGTACCTTTTAGGACTCTGTACTGCAGATTTATAAAGTAAAAATAAAATTGGGAAGTTTTCACACTTGGCTTCAGACTTACACCATTTGCATGTTCACCCATGCACAGTGGGGAGCATTATTTTAATATGTGCAATGAGAACGCTGACAGACGAGTGCACTTCCTCTTTCTGGAAGTGTGAAAGTCAGCAGCTTGAAACTTACTGATCTGAACTGTAATGTAGCATACTGCTGTAACCTGCTTTTCTCCCTGGTGGTCGATAGATTTAATGTATACTGTGGAACATTTTAGTCAAAGTAATAACATTTCCAGGTACACAAGCAGGTGATGCATCCTCCACTAGAAATGTTATGAAGTGAACCTTTAAAACGTGTACACTGTGGTGTTTAAGTGGAGCATTGAGAAAGTAAACAACAAAACAGACAAACAGACAACAAAAAACAGAGAGAAAGAGTACTCATCCAAGTCCTTTTTCAAATCAGTGTACTAACTTTTTTGAACTATTTGGAGCCATAGCTGATAACAAGCTGTAGATTATATAGTAAAAGAAAAGACACAACTAAGCACTGGATGACGTTTTTGAACCTCATTTATTGGAAAAAATGCCAAAAAAAAAAAAGCCCAACCTGCAATCAGTCTGTTGGTGTATCTGGTTTACACTTAACCAGAAGCTCTGAAAAAAGGAGCCATAGTATACTGAAATGAATGCTGATGGTCCATTCAAAATAAGTAGGTAGTTAAAGGGTCTATACTGTGCTTCTTTGTAATCTATGTTATAATGTTATAATCAGAAACATATCTGGAGTTGTGTTTTGTTTCATTCAAATGTTTAACACACAAACCCTGCACCTTTCGAGTGTGTTATCTTCTCAAACAGAAAACACTCTGTTCCAACTTGTAGGGTCAAGTGCTCCACTGTGTTTTTAAACTCACTAGAATCATTTGGATGATTTCACCCCTGGATTAAACCACACAAGAAACTATTTTGTTTAATATAGGACCTTTAAGCAGAGTACATGAGGCTTTCAGTCAATGATTGCAGATTTTCCCTTTCCAGAAGCAAACTCAGTATTAAAAAAAAATTAAAAATCACATCACTGTCCCTCCATCAGTACCACCTGTACAATCTTATCTGCATCCTCCGCCATCTCATCTATTGCTGTATTCAAAGCCTGGAGCGTGGCAGCGAATGACTTGCTGGCAGAACGCGCCTGTCTGGGCATGGCCATCTGAACCAACCTCGACGAAACCGTGGACAAGTCCTTCTCCGCTGCAGCCAGACGTTTTTTCACCTCCCCTTTAGAGACCTCCGCCGATAGAACGCAAGTACGCAATGCTTTCAGTCTACCTGGGTCAAGGCCTCGTAATTTGGCAAGCCTTTCCACAGAATGGTTATCCAAGCCCAAAGATATCTGCGTTTTGCTTAGAATCCGTACACCAATGCTTGAGTCCACCATTGAGGCCACAAAAGGAACCGGGAGAGTTGACATTCCACCAGAGAGAGATGCTGCAGCCCAGACCAGTGCTTTAAACGCCTCCTTTTTTTGAGTTACAAGAGCTGGTGTTAATATCGGTAGTGCTAATAATAACGCATGGGCACGGATCTCTGGTAGGTCTTGTCCCATGTCTTCTAAAAGTACAGGGAAGTCAATTTTCTCCAAGCAAGATGGATTGACAATGTATACTTTAGGCACTGCTACGCCTTGAGAGGTTAGAACTTCCAAACTCACTTGTCGTTTATCATCTTGAGTCTTGTTTTTGTCAGAAACCAAAAGTACAAAGTATACAGTTTTGTTCTGAAGTAAGCGTGCTTCCAAAAAGATCGTAACACTATTGATTTGAGGGACATCTGTGAAGGTCATGAATACTGCATTGTAACGCATGAACTTGTACTTTCCCATGTATGATTCTGGTTCAAAGGGTGTGCAGGTTGGGACAGGAGGTAAGTCCCATAAGCGGAAGTCTGTGTGTTTGGGGTCAGGGTACCCAATGACTTCTTCAGTACTAACAGTAGATGGGTACAGAGCGGCCCCTACATCGTCAACACCGAGGCCCCGTAAAGAGTTGATGAAGGTGGTCTTCTCCAGGCAGCGGTCACCCACAACTCCAATGTTTATCCTGCTGATGAGAAGGTCCTCAACCGCATCCTTCACATCTGACAGTTTGTTGTTGTCCATGGACTCTTTGAGCGTCTCGAGGAGGTTGAGGCTTTTCAGGACATCTGCCATAACTGAAACTGAAGGGGAAAAAAAAGATTAGGTATCATTAGGCTTGTCACAAAAACAAATTGTGAAGTACGATATACTGCTCATGACAATAGAGACGATAAATGATAACAGAAAATAAATTATGCTACTGATACAATAACCCTTAAAGGTGCAGTGCTTAACTTTTCTGGCGGAGGGCACGCCAGATGCTTGTCTCTATGGAGATGCTATTGTTTTGCCAGTCTTCTATGGTATGACACTAAGCATATCCATCTGACATTTGTTAGGGGTGTTTCTATTGCTCAAAAATACAATAATTCCTTCTGTGAATAGAGGCGACTCCACAGATCTGAATTGTAATGTAACGTAGTGTTCTAAATTGCTCTTTTCTGTAATGATATATACGTTTAATCTATACTGTGGAACATTTCGGACAAGTCCATAATAGGGAAAGGCATTCAATGAAATTTTCTTAATCGATCGTCGGAAGAATTAAAGATCGATTATCGATTAATCATTAAGGTTTTTTATATTAAAATGATCATCATTATTATTACTATCTGCACTACTAATCTGCATAAATAAATTCAACTTTACGACATATAAACCATAATCACTCTAGAGCCACATCAATCCGTTTGACATTATTATGTGTTTAATGCAGCTTTGTGCAAGCTTCACAGAAACGAAACTTAAAACCGCACCGCTAATTTGCATAAACTAAGAGAAGAAAAAAAACAGCTCTTGTGCAGTGATGTGGTCCACTTCTGTCAGATTAAAGGACACAACTCAGTGGAATACAGGTTAGTGTGACCATATTTGCGTTTGTCAAAACCAGGACACCATACGGGGGGTGGAAGGTTGTGCTACTTTCACCTGGCAAAGTTTTTTCCCACTGGACACCGAAACACATGTGCTGCTTTGTACACTGCACATGGCCTCCCACTTGTCCCTACTGGAAAGGAAAGCATGGAATTTCTTCGACAAGTCATCGTTAAATACGCATTTAGCAGCGAGTGGTGAGAACAGCTGAAGAGGTGGTGGGCTCCTCACTCCCGAACCTGGCCACCATCTACACTTCACGTCTCCACACACGGGCCTCCAACATTTTGCAGGACCCCACACACCCTGGGAACTGCCTCTTCCACACTTTCCCCTCAGGAAGGCTTCAAACTCCCCTCACATGCACAAACAGGCTGCGCAACAGCTTCTACCCACGAGCAGTAGATGTTCTCCAGGGGCACAGCCACAGATAAAAGGCCTGAAGGGACTCAGGGCAATAATCTATTTATTTTATTTATTAAATGTTAGTTTTTAGTTTTTTTTTTTTTAAATTGGTATGGATGTGAGGATGTGTCTATATTTGTTCATTGTTACTGCTACAGATCTGCTCTGTCAAAGTTTCGTTGTATTTCATACAATGACAATAAATAAATCTAAATCTAAAATCTAAATCTAAATTTGTGCTTCAGGCACTTTGCAGGTGGACCAACTGTTTGTGTTTGCTCGCTCCTTCTGAGTGCAGAGAGCTACATGTATGGACCCCTGTTTGGTCACCCTACGCTACGCACAGCAATGTACATTCTGTTTGTCGATTAAAATGAACATAATCAATGAAATTCCTAATGATCAATTAACGATTAATCGACTAATCAGGCTCATCCCTAGTCCATAACATTCTATGGAGACAAGCAGGTGGTGGAGATTCCACTAGAAATGTTATCAGGATTATGCCCACCTCAAAAATACTCTACATGAGCAACATTGTTAAAAAAAACATGACCTAGAATAAATTAGCAGTTAGTTTGCATTGACATAGTGAATAATAGAAATAAGTTATTCAACTCTTTACATGTCAAATCTTTGAAGCTGAAGCACCAAAAAATTAAAAAAGTTATTTTCTAGTATAAAGAAAAAGTCACGATAAATATTGACTCCAAAACATATTGTTCCATCTATGGAGTGATAAATCAATATAGTAGTTATCGTGACAGGCCTATTGAGTGTTGAAGAATACGAGATTCTCATAGTAGAAATGTAAGTTGATTCTATACTGTGAAATTTAAATAACACATGAGGAAATTTCTGAGACTCTCTGACTTGATAATCACAGGGAAATACACTTGATTTTCATTCTGTTAGCTTTGTAGTAAAGTTGACAGTATGGCTCATAGAGTTACGGGATTAGATAGGTAAGTTATTATTATATTTTTCACATTTTCCTTATTCTTAAAGGGGGTATTCCATGCATGTTTGAGTAATCTAGCAATCTGTTGCCTTATTTGAACCCTCCTTACAGTTAGCAGTGCGATTCTGTCCAAAATTCAGCCCCCAATCCTGTCACCCATGCTCCTACATGGCAATTTTCTATAAATGTACAAAAGCACGCTACAAAACAATACACAATAAATTCACAGACTCTGTGATTTGCAGTAGTGTCATTATCAGGACGCACTCTGATTGTATTATGGTATTGCTCTGAAGAGGGAATGACTTAGCAAAGGGGGAGCAAAGGGAGGGGTTGACATAACTTCAAAAAACGGACATGAAACTTGTAAAACATGTCAATAAGTTGTTTCTGGTATACAGTATTTTCAAAACAATAAATATTTAGATCACCATGTTAGTTTTTAATGTATGAGCAATAATATACCCCTCTGTAATATACATCTGAAACTATCTACAGGATACAAGGAGGTCATACAAACTCACCGTGTTCTTGTGCAGATCTTCAGGTATAGAGCCTTGAGCGCTGGTGTGAAGCTCTATTTAAAACAGACATGTAGCTAGTGGAATCTTCTAATCCTGTAAAGCCAGCTCTGATCCTAATCACCTTAACCACATCTATGCATACTCACATCATGCTGCAGTGTGCACAGACCACTTGTGCACACTTTATTAATAGAAACAACAACACCATTTTTTTATTATTATATAATATAGTTATTATATAATAGTTATTATTGACTGATTATTGTGAAATAAAAAACATGAATAACTGAAAGCCTGATGTAAATGTAAAAAATGATACAATGTTGCTTGTCACAAATAGAGGATCTAAGAAGTCATTTGCATTAAGGAAACCACTTGCTGTTTTGGATTGTAATATAAAGAAGAAATAATGGTATTAACTAAAGTGAACTGTGCACGCAGTGTTCATTTTAAATACTTTTCGGTCATCACAAGATCTCATTTAATAATAAAAACAGCAACAAAAGATATTCTATTTTGCTTACTAGTGACTGAGTTGTATAAAAGTGGAAATATTCTGAAATATATATTTAATTCCTTCTTTTCTGCACACTGACTCAATTATTGAGCGCAAACCGACTTGCTGTGAAGCAAATCAAATGAGGCTAAAAACAATAACTTCCTTTTTCATAACTTAAAATGCTATAATAATACAGCTAATACAGCCCAAAGGACACAAGTAAGAAACTGTTGGATTATGTGAAATAAGACGTTTGTTTTTTTTCCTGTATCCATGGAGACTGTGCAAATGCTAGATATAGACCTCTGAGATGCTACAGGTTTTTTGCACCAAACGTGGCAGAATACCTTCCAGGAAAAATACTTCAAAGGAATGGGCCACTTTATAACCCACTGAAACTACAGAGTGCAGTGAGACTGAGGCTTAGAAGAGGCTTTCCTGTTGTGTTTTCCTGGTTAGCCTCAGACGCTGCTGTGACACTTTTGGCTCTTCCTCTCCTCAAACTGCCCTGACACACATCTGCTCACCCTACCTGACCAGTCCTCCTGTTAAACTGCACTGAGACCTTTGACTGAGACACAAAGGTGAATGAGAAACGCACTATGTTTCTGCATCTAAACTTGAATTTGTCTTGGGATCTCTCCCTCTCTTATCAAGAGCTACGTAAAAAAGGCCTTGTTCTGCTTTCAATCAGAGGTAATTCTGACCATCGACCAGCAGGTGTCCTCCTTTCACCTATATCTAATTCTTTGAGGTCAACTGCTTTTTGCGCTACCACCTCACAACAGACACAGTCCCATGCCCATTTAAAGTTCTGCCTTTCTGCATCTTATATATGTTTTACATCCTCCCAAAATAATTTATTAGTTTATGCTGTTTGGGGTTAGACTTAATGATCAATCTTGTAAAAACTTTTTTTTTTTTTAATATAGAATGTAAAGCAGCTGAACTGATGTGAAGCCAAAGGTGACAGGATATTTGATTGTTTACCCAAAAAAAACTGACACCTTGAGTTCATAGATGTGTAGGAAAAACACATGATCTCACAATTTTAACTGATTTGTTAAATTCTATACTATTCTATAATGCATTATTAAGTAAAACCAGGTGTTCTTGAAGCTATTTACTTAAAAGAGGAAGCTGAAAAGGATGTTAAGCAAATTACCATTTCTTTTAATGACTGATCTAAAGAGGAAATGGAAAGTATGACAGTATAATGCTAGTGAAGTTATTTGAATAAAAACATGCCCTTGTGGATTCTGTATTTAAGACACTCAATCCAAACTACATCTACCTTGGAAAATGTAATGAGCCTCTTTGGTTTTGTTTAATTTTGGGCATTTTTTTTTTGTTCAAGGTCATTTTGAAGATAATTATTATTTTAAATGTAGCTCAGTCTGGCATAGGAAGAACTAGAAAAAAAATCATTTACTGTAATACATACATAATACTAAAAACATTGGTGGCTTTAGCTTTATAGAGAGCTGTCTCTATAAAGTCTGGTGGTTATTTTAAGTCAAGCATATTTGTTTTTCAGTATCAGTATTAATGGAGAATACCAGTAGATCTGTGTTTCTGCTGTTTTTTACACAGTGAATTGAAAAAATAATAATAATAATATAAAATAAAATAAACATTTAGTGGAATATGCTTTTGGTACTCTAAGATTTTCCATTGCTGCTGGACTGGTGCTGTAAGTGTATCTTATCTGAATCCATGTTCAGTCAAGGCATTCACCACCCCACACAGTCACCAGGCAGGTCTCTCTGTCTCTTTGAAGATCACCAAAACAACAACAAACAACAAATCAACAAACAAATCACTCTACACAATTTAATTATTATTTTTTTTCCACATATTTACTTTCTGATTTTTATACTTCATATAGCCATATCATCTAAACTAAAGGGCATTAAAAGGATTCATACAAATGACGGTTAATCAAATCAATTGTTTACATTAATTAATACAATCAAGATTAACAATAATTGTATTCTCTTTAAAGGTGCACTGTGTAACTTTGGTTGGAGATCCGTCACCTGCTTGTTTCTATGGATATGTCACTGCTTTGCCTCGAATGTTCCACAGTATGACATTAAACAGCTCAGCCTTACATTTAGTCAATTACAGGTGGTTTTATAACTTAAAAATACCAAGAAAAACAGACATTCTGACTGAGGGCGGGGTTGCCTCCCCACAGAGCTGATCTGTAACTTGGTCTCTGTGAAGGTAGAGAGGTTTTTCTACATATTAAACAAACATTCCAGACAAAGCAAGAACATCTTCACGAAGAAAAGTATTGGAGGGACCCTCCACCAGAAAAATTACACAATGCACCTTTAACATAATACATGAGCATGCAGGTCCTTCTAGCTTAAAAGTAATTCCCAGTACACGCTGTCCCCTCTCCAGGTCTCACGCGATGCTTATCTAGGCCAAATACATGTTAGCATGTTAGCAAGCAATTCACATCAGCAGCTAAAGCGAGCAGTCCAGTTCCTTTTGTAGTCAAAATGAACCATTTGTACTAATTACATACATTAAAAATTGCATTTTTATTAATAATATCTGGCACGAGTCTACTCATCAGATGTGGACACCTTGTCAAAAGTAGGTTTGACCTCTGTCACTCACCCAGGAGTATTTTAAAAGTTACAGTATAATATTATCATACATAAGCACTTGTATTTCTCATGAGCCTCCATGGGAGCGCGGTCACAGCGCACTCTGCTGGAGACATGTTGCATAACAACTGAGATCAGATAAACAGGTCAGCCCACTGCCTCAGTGGCTCAATGTGACTTAAAGAGTCACCTCAAAAACACATTTTAACCTTTTAACATGAAAGTCTGGACATTTAACAAAGCTTTACATAAGCTTAGTTACACACATTTAAAAAACAAACAAACAAACAAACAAAAAAAAAAAAAAAACATTATTATAAATAATCATGAACTTTCTATGTCTTATACTATGATTGTGTCTTTTTAGTTACAATTTCCTTTGGCCTGGCCTTGATGGGTTTTGGACAAAACAACAACAAAAAAGACAATTACAAAAAAAAACAAGAAAAAAAAAAAAAGACAAAAGAGAAAAATTGCATAATTAGTTAATTAATCTGAATGAATTCTAATGTACTGTAAGTCTTCAAATTAATATAATAATGTATTTCGGTTTCAACCTCGCCCAAGATTGATCTGTTATAATCTTACAGCTTCTTCTACTTACTCAGTTAGTCACACCTACAATTTCTTAATCTAGTTTGACAGGAGCTACCCCACGCAACTCGGTCTAAACCAAATTTTGAAATCAGGTTTCTTCATCATTCTCCTCTGTCATCAGACCCAAAGTTTCCTCCTCTTTCTGCTCACATGTTGGGGTGTCAAAGATTTCTTGCCACTCTTCTTCTCCCCACTCCTCTCCTCCCTCCCCTTCTCCTCCCCACTCCTCTCCTCCCTCCCCTTCTCCTCTCCACTCCTTCCTTCCTCCTTCTTGCTCCTCCCCCTCTCCTCCCCTCTCCCCCCCTTCTCCTCCGTGCTCCTCCCCTTGACTTGGCTCAGTGTCAGTTACTTCTCTTTTGATTTCAGCGTATTCGCTCTCTGCGGTCTCTTGTGGTTTGACCTCTTTCACACTTCTGTCCCGCAGAGCAGAGAAATCTATGTCCGAATACTCTACTTCAGGCTTACATGCAGTCCCATCATCCTCTGTTTGTGTACCTTCATCCTGTGGTCCATTCTGTAAACAATTCATATTCAAACAAGTAAGAAAGAGAACACAATATAATATTCAAAACAAGACCATAACAGTGTCTAAATGTATCTAAAAGGCCCATATTACACTACTTTATGATCTGTGTTATAATGCTATTTGTTATTTATTTTTATGATCTATGTTATATGCTATATGTTAATTACCACATCCCTATACTCCGTCCAGAGCCCTGAGATCAACTGACCAGCTCCAGTTGGTCGTGCCCAAAACTAGGCTCAAGACGAGAGGTGACAGAGCCTTTTCTGTGGCAGCGCCCAGACTGTGGAACAACCTTCCTCTTCCTGTCAGATCCTCTCAGTCAGTAACGCAGTTTAAGACGAGACTGAAAACTCACCTCTTCTCCCTGGCATTGAGTAGTAGCTAGTCAGGTTTTCACCTGTTATCTGTATATATGAATATCTAACTATTTCTTCTCTTTTTATTGTCTTTTATGTGAAGCACTTTGGTCAGCTGAAGTAGTTTTAAATGTGCTATATAAATAAACTTGAAACTGAAAATGAAACATTTGGATGATTTCAGCCCTGGAATTGGCCATCTCTACTGAACTAAAGGTAAAAGGAGCTGTTAACATGAAAACTACCACTACATGACATCACAAGCATGTGAATGAAGCATTCTCACACAGACCACCCAAAAAACCCAATTAAAGTATATTGTATTTTTGTATGATTGTTGTATCACCCATGCCCCCATTTATCAGTCAGTTCATCTTTGAACACACTTAAAGTATATAAGCTAAGAGTCATTAACCGTGTAGAACTTACCACTTTTAGTGCTTGGGTGCTCACCATCTCCAGTGTGTCAGACACATTTAAAGAATTCCTTCTTTTGCATCTGGAAAAAGAGTAGAAATATGAAATATCATAAGTAACATAAGTTAAGATGAGTTCTGCTTCTCAGAATTTGGACAATATCTTGCCTTTTAAATATGAATTGCATAACAATTTACATACAGTATTTACAATATTATTTCAAAGTTATGATACATTTACAGGAATACAACTTTTGAATTCATAAATGGAAATGTATGCTTGATAGGTGCCACAGTTAGTGTAAAAATGTCACTTCCTGATGTTGTTGACTGTTGCACCACTTCTGCATTTGCTCATCTTAAAAGCCACCTGATTTCTTAAAAACATGAAAAAGAGAACTAATTCATTTCAATGATTGAAAATCATGTGTCCTTTCTTATCTTATACATTCTGAGCATCCTAAATAAGATTAAGGTTAAGGTACACCATTGTCCCTGTAGGGAAATTTGTCCTCTGCATTTGTCCTCAGAGAGAACATGCAAACCCACACAGAAAGGCCCAGGCAACTCGAAAATCAAACCTGGAACTTTCTTGCTGTGAAGCATCAGTGCCACTCAGCCACCAAGTCTCCAAGTGTTCACCACAATGAGTTTATAAGCAACTCTCAAAGACCAGAGCAGACGGTAAAGCTAACAGCTAGCCTGCTAATGTGCACTTCCTGGTTATTGGAAGAAAAAAAAAAAAATCCACTTTAGGTCTGTTTTAAAGATACAACAGTGTCAGGTATCTATTATATATATATTTTTTTTAAAAAAAAGTTCAAATGTGTACCTGCAGCAGAGTAGAGCCAGACCCCAGATGATTGTAGTCAGCGTGACACCAATCCCAAACGCAGCGATGACCCGAAGATCCTGGACAGTTTTCACCAATAAGTCCAATATATCTAAAGAAAGTGCAAATTAATGTATATTCATGTAGTGTTGGTCTATGCTTTAATTTGGGAACTTACTCATCTTTGCCTTAGCAGACTCATTGCAGGTCCTTGCATCATAGTTTGGCTTAGTGAGGTTCTTGGTCACTGGGACTGCGGATAATGACAAAATAAGCGTTTCAATTGCAAAAAAAATCATTACACAGTCACATGAGCAGCAAGAGTGAAGTGCCTTGCTCAGAGACATAATAACAAATCACTATGTTTGTAGGTGATTGCTTAACCACTGTGCCACTCCCTCGTGTAGTACAACCACGGCCCATTAACAATTTGTGTATCATTCATTTTTCAATATAAAACCAAAAATAAGAAAACGAAAAATTGTCCGACTTTGAAAAACTAATGAACGAATGATACAGGGATTATTAACCGTAGGGTGGGAGGTTGAATCCATGCTGCAACCAATGCTATCTTTGTGTCCTTGAGCAAGAGATTTCTGTCACCTGGTTTGTCTTCATGCACATGTGTATGAATGTGTGTCTTTTTCTTTCTTTTTTTTATAATAATTTTTAAACAGTTTATGCCTCAGAAAACTAATAATGCTCATCAAAAACATACCTGGAGTTTTGTTTCATTCATACATCTTTGAGCATAACCATTTATTATTAGTCTGTGTACATTTCCAAATATCAGAATGCTCTTTGCCACCTTATGATGTCATGAGCAGTAGTTTTCAAGTTACCTTTTACCTTTTACTCAGTAGAAATTGATAACTGCAGGGCTGAAATGATCCAAATCGTTCTAGCGACTGTGTACGGAGTTTAAAAACACATCAGAGCATTTCCTGTTTTACCACATGACATCACAGTGTAGAATACAGTGTTTTCTGTTTAAGAGAAGAACTCAGCCTAAATATGCAGAGTTCGTTTGTTAAACATGTGTGAATGAAACAAAACACAACTCCGGGTATGTTTATGATGAGTAAAGGATATTATAACAGATCAGAAAACAGCGTAATATAGATCCTTTGAAACTGACATAGGTAAAATTCTAATTTACATTTAAAGTGCATTTGAGAGATTACTATAATATTCTAATTACAACTTGGTTTGGTGGGATAGTAACTGCATGTGTTAAATATTCATCATGATTTCAAATCAGTTCTCACAAGTGTCAGTTCTAAAATACACGAAGTAGTGATGAGCTCTAAAACTGAAACCATCCAAAATTCAGGCATAATTAAGTGTAAACACTGATTTAATAAAATAAAGGTGTTGTCATTTATGTGTATTTGTCAGCTCATAGCTGTTGTGTAATTTGTGACACTTTTTTGCCTTTGTTTACATTACGGCTGCCAGGTAATATGCCTTAGTATATTTCATCATGTTACCTATGTTTTAGAGAATTTAGTAGTCTAACCTTTCATGTGCACTTTAAAGGTGCAATGTGTAACTTTCCTGATGTGGGGTGAGCCAACTGCTCAAATGCTTGTTTCCATGGAGATGTCTCAGAGCCTGTCCACATGACTAAGTTTTTGGTTGAATGGTAAAGTTTGTATTCTTTTTAGCCTTTCGTCCACATGGAGTTAGCATTTCGGGTGGGCGAAAACTGTTTTTTGAGAACGGGTTCCAGAGTGGAGAAATCTGAGAATGCCGACGTTGCGTTGTCATGTGGACAAGCAAACCGCAGCTTATGGAAAACAATGACGTCGCAACCCATGCAGATTACGCACATGGATCAATAACAAAGATTATGCACGGGTAATTAAACTGTTGGATTTTGAGACCTAATAATTCTTATTCTATTATATAAATTCTATTCTATAAAACTTAAAGTAAAAAAAAAACAGTTATGAGATATGCATTATTATATATTATTATATATATTATCATATAGCTGTGGCATATGTATTACATTGTTTTCACTCAGTGCTCCGTTGTCTTCTAGATGTGAATATTTATTGATCTGACACATGTGTGGGTTGAATTTTTTTCAACCCGCAAAAAAAAAAAAAAAAAAAAAAAAAAAAATCCAGGAGCATTGTCATGTGGATGTAGCCTAGCCTTAGTTTTTCCTGGAAGTTTCTACAGCATGATATTAAACATATCACTTTCCAAAGAAGCAAGCAAGTGACACTCCAAGGCCAAGTTACAGGTAGGATCTGTGGAGAGGTGACTACGCATACAATGAGAATTCCTTTTTGAAGGCATTTTTGAGAGATAAAAACACCTGTAATTCACACAAAATAGGTATGTTTAATTAGCCAGGCCGGCGCCACCTAGTGCCTCCGCTCAATTTCATTTCTCTCCAGCGACTAGGTCAGGAATCAGAACACACTAGACCAGGGGTGTCCAAACTTTTTTCATCAAGGGCCACATTTCGAAACACAGACGAAGCAGAGGGCCGATCAAGGGCCGTAGACTGGTGCTCAATACAGTGAAAAATTTAAATATGTGCATGTTTAACACTTTGATATGAGCCATCAGTCTTTATTCACTCTAAAATCCCCAAAGCCACACATTAAATATTCAATATTTGCTTTATCAAAGTAGATTTTCCAAAAAACTTGCTGTAAAAAGTTCATTTTCAATTGATGCAAGGTAATTTGGGCCAAATCACCTGGAAGCCTGAGGGCCAAGAAAAACTTGTTAGAGGGCCGCATTTGGCCCACGGGCCGCAGTTTGGACATGCCTGCACTAGACGGTTTGCAAAAACCCTGGAAGTGCAAGTTCGGGCACCAGCCAATCAGCAAAGAGCCATATATTCAGCGATTCCCAAGATCGAGGATTTAAGGCCGGAACAAAGAGAATGTTTGGTGAATTTATCAAGGGGAAAGACGTTATTGCCCTTCTTTCTACGGGATTTGGGAAAAGCTTAATATACCTGTTAGCCTTGTTAGTGATTCATTAGACACGTCACCACCAAATAGCAACAATTGGTTAAATGATAAAACATACCCGCCTAGCGAACGAATTCTAATACTACGAGGTCAGAAGGTTTGTATGAAGTGAAACGAAGTAAAATGAAGTAAAATCAGCTGATGAATCAGGCTAACATTAATGTCATATTACAAAACATTTCAGGCAAAGCAATAACATCTCCATGGAGACAATTAGACGGCGGATCCTCTACCTGAAAAGTTGCATAGTGCACTTTTAAGATCTATTTGTAAAAAAATTAAGAATTTATAAAAATAATAATACATAAAACCACAAAAAAGATACAGTGGTCAGACCTGTTCGCGTATTCTTTGTTCCTTTTGTTGAAATGGGAGTGGCCATTGTAGAAATTGTTGACACTGCAGATGGTATTTCTGTCTTGACCACTGAAATATAAATTATTAAACATCACCTTAATTTTCTATGTGTAAATAATGAGTAAATTTAGCAGTAGTCGAGCGCTGGTGGTTGCTTTTGCTTGTTTTCCTTTTTCAGTATAAGTTCCTTTTAACATTTTTCTTAAACATGCATTGTGTAAGTTTTCTGGTGAAAGGTCCATCAAATGCTGAGATGATATTGCTTTGTCTGGAATGTTTCACAGTATGGCATTAAACCTTTCTATCGTCATGCAGCCCAAACCCGGCCAAGTTACAAGTTAGATCTGTGGAGAGGCACAGTCAGAATTCCTGTTTTTCAAGATATTTTTGAGCTATAAAACCACCTCTAACTGAATAAATGTACAGTAGATAGAGCTGTTTAATGTCATACTGTGGAACATTTGCAATGACATATTTATAGAAACAGGCAGGTGACGGACACTCCACCAGAAAAGTTACACAATGCACCTTTAAATAAAAAAAAACCTCAACTGTGAAGAGAGCTTTAAAAACATGCAATGTAATACAAATGAAAAGAAACATTTTAGTACAAATATTGTAACTTACCTGAAGTTGAATTTTCTTTTTCTGCAAGCATAAGAAGTACGTATTGAAATAAGACTGTTAAACTTATAATTACGTGGTTACAAAAAGTTCCAGCACGGTACCTTCATCAGTATTTGCCAAAGAAAGGAGGAAGAAGAGCTGAAAAAGTACCCCAAAACGTATCATCTTAGCATCAACTTGAGACCTACAGACTTTTCGAATTGTCTTGTTATAATCTTTACAGCTAGTTACAGGAAATCCCCTCTTGAAAGATGGGCCAGAAGTAGGTCCACGGTTCACGGCACACATTTGCATACATGGTTGGGCTGAAATGTAATGAATACTGCTAGTGAAAAAAATATGTACTTACAGTATGATAGAAATTAAAAAATGTATCAGCCTATTTGCCGTTCGTCTTAAGATGACTTAGGGTTGCCAACTATGTGAACCAGGAAGTTTATTTGACAAACTCAAATTGTCACTCATATTACGCATATGTGAGCCACAATGTTTTTTTTTGTGTTTTTTTATAGCAAAAGGGAAGTCAAAACTTCTGTTCAACTTCAGTAACTATCAGTAGTCTAGATCTTACTTAGAAGCAGTTACTTCTGGTATCTGTAAAAGTACAGATATCAGAGCAAAAAATACTCAAGTAGAAGTAAAATATCACATATCATATCTACCTAAGTAAAACCTAGGTAACAGTACTTGTTTAAAAATGTACTTAAAGAGTAAAAAGTTAAAGTGCATATTTCATGCATATTTTGAAGTCATATAAGGCTTCAAATATTATATCGTTTTTTCCCAGCTGTTTCCATTTGTGTATTTTTGTTTGCCCAAAGTGCAAACATGTAAAAAAAATACCCCCCTATTTCTTTTCAGCAAGTCTCAAATAAAAACATCAGATGAAGAGAAGAGGTAGAGCGCTTCACTGGGTCATAAAAAAGTCAAAAGTAGCAGTGCAGGTGCTCTATGAGGGTTGAACTTGACATCTTAATAGAATGTAACCCTTACTGAATAATGTAAAAGTAGGCAAGGTACAAGGTACATAAGGCAGCCTTATGCCCTGATGAAGACCATCTTGCTGGTTGAAATGCATTGGTGTGCCTCCATGTAATAAAGGTCTTTTAATATATTCAGTCTTTGTACCTAGGGTTTGTCACTTGTCCACTTTTACATTTTTCAGTAAGGGCTACATTCTATTAAAATAATAAAGAAAATACTTTTACTTTTCTGTCCAGTTTGAAAATGTAGTGGAGTAGTAGCACAGATATCTGCTGCCAAATGTAGTCAAGTAAAAGCAAAAAGTATCCACTTGAAGTGCAGTAGTTTACTACTTTTACTTTGTTATGTTCCACCACTAGTAACTATAAAAATCTAAAAACATATGAGTTCAAATTTATGTTTCAATAACTTTTACATCATTCACAGTTAAGTTACTCATAGATTGTTTGCTATAGTCTTTTAAGAGCCTTATTGTATATGCACAACCATGCAGTCAAAAGTTTGGACACACCATCTCATTCAGTGTTTTTATTTTCATACACATGCAGAAGAAATCAAATATATGAGGTAAGATATAAGGAATGATATATCAAAGAAAAAAAAAGTTATATTCTAATCCTCAAAGTAGCTGCCCTTTGATGTCAAAAAAATATTGTCTAGTAGAGTTGTTACATCATTCCATATCTTGCTTCATATGTTTGCTGTATTCTGTAAACAGTGACGAGAAGAATACCTTGAAAATGTATTTACTTAGAGAATACTAAATACCTGCATTAAAATGTAATTTTGTAATGCATTTTGATACATAGGCCAATCAGAGTACTGTACTCTGAATACTCTGGATACTCGAGTTGCATTTAAATTATAGTGTAAAAATGCAACATAGTATTAATAACAGCTCTATTTTTGTTTCAGCTTTTAAAAAACTTCCCATCACTAATTGGAGAAGTAAAAATTCACACACATTCACATGCTGTAAGATCAATGTTTTCTGTTTTTCTGTGTGCTGTTTGAAGCATGAAATCAAAAAATGTGTTCCTTTGATTAAAAAATAATAATAATTGTACTGAACACCAAATGAAAACGTAACTATACCAGAGTACTCAATATTAGTATTCAGAATAAACACGCCTCTTCAACATCGGGGACAGTACCTCTGGACTTGCAGACCGAGGTGGTGGTCCCTCTGTATAAGAAGGGTGACCAGAGGGTATGTTCCAACTACAGGGAAATCACACTCCTCAGCCTCCCAGGTAAGGTGTATGCAAGGGTAGTGGATAGTAGAATCTGACCGATAGTCGAACCTCGAATCCAGGAAGAGCAGTGTGGTTTTCGTCCTGGCCGTGGAACAATAAACCAACTCTATACTCCCCTTAGGGTGCACAAGGGTTCATGGGAGTTTGCCCAACCAATCCAAATGTGCTTTGTGGATCTGGAGAAGGCATATGACCGTGTTCCTTGTGGTGTCCTGTGGGGGGTGCTCTCTGGGAGTATGGGGTCCGGGGCCCTTTGCTAAGGGCTGTCCGGTCCCTGTATGACCGGAGCAGGAGCTGTGTTCGCATTGCCGGCAGTAAGTCAGACCTGTTCTCGGTGCATGTTGGACTCCGCCAGGGCTGCCATTCGTCACCGGTTCTGTTCATTGCATTTATGGACAGAATTTCTCGGTGCAGTCAGGGGCTGGAGGGGGTCCGGTTTGGGGACAACAGGATGTCATCTCTGCTGTTTGCAGTTGATGTTGTCCTGCTGGCTTCATCGAACCAGGACCTCCAATGTGCATTGGGGCGGTTTGCAACAAGTATGAAGCAGCTGGACATATGGTCACTTATGATCATGAGCTCTGGGTGATGACTGAAAGGACGAGATCACAGATACAAGAGGTCGAAATGAGTTTCCTCTGCAGCACTGCCGGGCACTCCCTTAGAGATAGAGTGAGGAACTCTGTCACATGGGAAAAGCTCAGAGTAAAGCCGCTACTCCTCCACGTCGAGAGGAGCCATTTCAGGTGACTCGGGCATCTGTTCCTGATGCCTCCTGGGCGTCTCCCTCGGGAGGTGTTCTGGGCATGGGAGAGAGGAGGCCCCAGGGACAACCCAGGACACACTGGAGGGACTAGGTCTCTGGTCTGGTCCTTGGAACACGGGTGCTGGCCTTTGTGGCCAGTCCGCCATTCTGTTTGTGTCTGTGTCTCTTTCATGTCAGCACTTTGTTTGTACAAGTACATGTCTGACTTTGTGTGTGTGTTAAGACACTTGATTAGTTTAGTTTAATTCTGTTTTGTGCCTTTTTATTTTGTCACTCGATTCTGTTTGTGGGTTTATGCGGTTTTACTTTGGGACACTTTTGATCAATTTTGTTGTGTGTCCCATTTTCGTATCAGCCTACATCCTGTCATTCTTAGTTTTGGTTATTTTATGTACATATTTTAGTATGTTCTGTTAATTTACTCTTTTGCATTCTTGTTAATTAAACATTACTTAATTTATACCATTTTCCAATACTACTGCTATTACTGCTAATTTAAGTAATTAAAGCAAGCAAGACAACAATGGCACCAAAGAAACCAAGTGTTATGGACGAAGAACTGCAGAACATTCAAAAATCCCTAAACTTCATGTCGGATGAGTTGAGCAAAGTAGCTGAGAAACAAGAGAAGCTACTAGCCCTTGTTACTGAAGTTGCCAAACTCAAGAAAATCATCAAGGCAAAAGACGCAATTATCCGAGGACTGGAGCACAGGATCGAGGATTTGGAGCAATATACACGAAGGGAAGATATTATTGTGAGTGGATTACAAACTACCCATCGTAGCTATGCTAGAGCTACAGTGATGAGCATGACAACGGAGAGCGGCGAGGATGCGCCACCGGAGGAGCAACAAACTTTGGAGAGGCAAGTCATCCAATTTCTTGAAAGCAGAAACATAAAAGTTGCACCCGAAAACATAACCGCTTGTCACACGCTCCCGAAGAAACACAAAGACGCAAAACCGACCATCGCTGTGCGCTTTGTCAATAGGAAGCACAAAGTGGAACTGCTGCGTCAGGCTAAGCTGCTAAAAGGCACAGGAGTGTACGTGAATGAACATTTAACAAAAAAGAACGCAGATATAGCCAGGGACGCACGGAATCTTAGAAAACTAAAGAAAATTCAAGCCACATGGACACGGAACGGACAAGTAAAGATCCGGCTCAACGGCACGCCAGAAGAATCTAAAGTTGTCACGATAAGAGATCTCAAAGATTTGGACCCATATAAATGACTATCTTTCTTTCTTTTTTCAAAAATGGGATAATTCCTTACACTCTTTATGAGATGACTTCATTTAGTTTTGAAGAATTTACGTTAACTTTGAAAATGTGCGTGGACACTGGAAGAAGTTTAATTTGGATTAAATACGGATTAAACGGGACTAAATACGGACTAAAAAGAACATGGAAAGTATGTACTGTTGTCACTACAGTGATTGTGGATCACGATTGTCGACATCAAATCCTGAACTGGACAAACATTGTGACTTTAGATATGATTGGGAACAGTGAGGAGCACGCCGTGGCGCACGGATTACGCATTGCCGAAAGGAGAACAGGTGAATACATGAGATGGAAGTTACGACTTTATACACAATGGAACATAACATTTACTTGAATGGAAAATGAACTAGACCCAGAAGTACACTTCTATAATAATCTAGATATAACCTGTGAGTATTACACTGAGAAACAGTTTAAAGAGAAAGTGGAAATGGTTGGTCACTTTTCAGTTATACATTTTAATAGCAGGAGTCTCTGGAAAAATATTTAAAAAAAATGAACGAATTATTGCAGTTGTTTAATAAATTTTGTGTCATAGCTGTATCCGAAACTTGGTTGGATAATGACAAACTTGCTGGGGTGCAAATGGCAGGATATGATTTATTTACAGTAAACAGGAAAGATAAAAAAGGTGGGGGTGTTGCTCTGTATGTGGACTCAGCCCTAACTTGTAAACTTGTTGAAAGCAAATCAATAACTGTGGAAAATATATTAGAATGTGTCACTATTGAGATCGAATTTAAAAAATCCAGAAATGTGCAAGTCACATGTATATACAGAACCCCAGGATCCCCCATAGATAAATTTAATGAAAAAATGCATGATTGGCTCAACACAAATGGGTCCAAAGGAAAAGAACAAATTATATGTGGGGATTTTAACATTAATCTTATGAATGCTTCTGCCCACGAGAAAACAGCAGACTTCATGAACATGATGTACTGTAATATGCTCATCCCAATCATAGATAAACCAAGTAGGATTACCACTGACACTACTACACTGATAGATAATATATTCTCCAGTAAAATTGAAGTTAAAACAATTGGAGGACTCCTGATTAGTGACATATGTGATCACCTTCCAGTTTTTGCAGTTTTTCAGAACTGTAATGAACTGAATTATGATTACAAATCAAAATCATACAAATTCATAAGACGATTAACACCCCAGTCTTTAAATAATTTTAAGGAGGACTTAAACAAACTTAGCTGGAATGATGTGTACAATCAGACTGATCCCAGTGATGCCTATGAAACCTTCTTGTGTAAATATATCAAACTATATGAAAAAAACTGCCCATTGCAAAAAGTAAATGAAAATCAAAACTGTGTTAGAAAGCCTTGGATAACGAAAGGACTAGAAAATGCATGCAAGAAAAAAAATTTAGTATATAAAAGATTTATCCAACTCAGAACAAAGAAATCTGAAATTAAATATAAAAAGTATAAAAATAAATTGATAAGCATCCTGAGAAGTTGTAAAAAGAACTACTTTCACAAATTACTTCAAGAGCAAAGGGAAAATATAAAAGGAACATGGAAAGTGATAAACAGTATTATGGAAATAAGAGACAAAAAACATGATATCCCAAACCACTTTACACATAATAATACCAGACTCGAAACTATAAAAGAGATTGTAGATGGGTTCAATCAGTATTTTGTTAATGTGGGTAATAACTTGGCAAAATCTATAGAAATGCACAGGAACTCTCTTCCATGTAATACAGTCTGTAGAAATCCAAACTCCTTCTATATGAATCCTACAAATGAAAATGAGATAGTTAAAATAGTAACAATTCAAACCAAAAACATCCAAAGATGCAGCTGGCCTAGACATGAACCTAATCAAGAAAACAATAGAGCTCATAGCAGATCCACTGACACATATATGTAATCAGTCATTTAAAATGGGCAAATTTCCAGATAAAATGAAAATAGCAAGAGTGTTTCCAGTATACAAAAATGGGGAAAAAAATATATTTTCAAACTATAGACCAATTTCAATACTCTCTCAATTCTCAAAAATAATAGAAAAAATATTTGTTCATCGATTAGATAAATTCATAGAAAAATATGAGCTCTTAAGTGACCATCAATATGGATTCAGGAAAAATCGTTCCACCTCAATGGCTGTTATGGAATTGGTAGAAAAATGTATCTACAGCAATTGATTCAAAGAAATACAGTGTGGGTATCTTTATTGACCTTAAGAAGGCTTTTGATACCCTCGATCATAATATATTATTGCAAAAATTAGAAAGATATGGACTGCGAGGACCTGTGCATGCCTGGCTACAAAGCTATCTACAAAACCGATACCAGTATGTTGAAATAAATAATAAAAAATCTGTATTGTTGAAAGTAAATTGTGGAATTCCACAGGGCTCGACGCTTGGGCCAAAACTATTTATTATGTATATAAATGATTTATGTTCGGCATCAAAAATGTTCAATTATGTGCTCTTCGCAGATGATACCACCCTCTACTGCTCAGGTGAAGACCAAAGGCAGCTTTTTCAAATGGTGGAGAGGGAGCTGCAGAAAATTAAAGTTTGGTTTGATATGAATAAATTATCGCTAAACATAGAAAAAACTAAATTTATGGTATTTGCAAAGCGAAAAGTACAAAATCATGTACAAATTATGCTCAATAATACACCACTAGAAAGAGTCTTTCAAAATAAATTTTTAGGAATAACCATAGATCATAATTTAAACTGGAAATCACACATAAATACAATTAGGAACAAACTATCCAAAGTGATCGCAATTATATATAAATATAGATATACCCTAGATAAAAACAGTCTTTTTATTATATATAACTCGCTGGTAATGCCCTACATAACCTACGGTATTGAGATTTGGGGCAATACATATAAGACGAATACAAAGCCAATCTTTACCCTACAAAAAAAGGCAATAAGGGCAATCACATTATCAACTTATAACGAACCAACCAATGCATTATTTATAAACCTTCAAACGCTGAAATTTTACGATTTAGTCGGCCTGTACACTCTTAAAATCATGTTCAAAGTAAACAACAATCTCCTGTCGAAATCGTTACAGAACATGTTCAAAATCCGAAAGAGCCGATATGAGCTCAGAGGCACGACCATGTTTATTAAAAAGAAAATCAGAACAAACATTATGAAATTTTGTAAATCTGTTAAAGGGGCGGAGCTCTGGAACAACTGTACAGAAAACCTAAAATTGTGCACCACTTTCTTTCACTTCATAAAGAAGTTTAAATGTTTAACTCTGGACAGATACATGAAATATGAGACTTAGTTTGTGCTGTAATACTTTGTTGTTCTGTTACTGATTAGCTTGTTTCTTCCTGCTGTATTTATGAAGATGAACTGGTGTCAAGATGAAGCTCTGACAAAGGAATAAAGGGTAGGCATAATAAGCTTAAGCTTCAGCCTGCACCTTTTCGGTCTGTATATGTTAAATATGACTGTTTATGAATTTATGTCAAAATATACCTGTGACCGAAATAAATAAATAAATAAAAATAAATAAATAAATAAAAATTATGGCCACTGCCTCAATAAAAATAGACATCTGAATGATGCACTGTATTGTCCTATGCAGTTCTACATTTAAAATCTTTGAACATGCCAGTGTTAAAGGTCCTGTATTATGCAAAACTGACTCTTGTGAACTTACGTCATGTTATAATGCAGTTACCTCCTCAAAACCATACTCAGAGTTGTGTTTTGTTTCATTCACATGTTTGAGTAATCCTGTATTATTAGTCTGTTTACATCTCCACAGCTCAAAATGCTCTGTTCCACCTTGTGATGTCATGGAGTGGTAAAGATTGGCAATTCTAAGTCTGAAATTATCCAAATAATTCTAGTGAATGTGAATGGAGTTTAAGCACAGTGGAGCACTTCCTGTATTACCACATGACATCCCAAGGTGGAACAGAGTGTTTTCTGTTTGAGAGATGAACTGCAGTTTAAAAATGCGAGTTTGTGTATAAAATGTGTGAATGTAACAAAACACAACTCCATGTCTGTTTGTGATGAAGAAAGAACATTATAACAGATCATAAAATAGTGTAATATGAGCTCTTTAAATGTGATAATGTTGCAGACAGGAAAATGTGTAAATGTATTTTATTTACAGAATAAATACTCCAAATACATGAAAGAAGGGAACCAGTAAAGGATAACTTCTATATCCACATCATTCATCTATAACACAACTTTTTTTCCCTTGAAAAATTTGACTAAATCTACCCCTCTGGTAATGAAAGAAAAATCAGCAATGGTGACTGAAATAACTTGAAACTGAGAAAAGCAATATTAAATAAAATAAAAAAAAAAATACAGAAAAATAACCAGTGAAAATCAGACACTGTTTTTGAATTGTTGTTCAGTGGAATCATTTTAAACAAACTAATGAAAATGACCTGGACAAAAATGATGGTACCCCTAGAATAGATAAATAATGTAAATAATTGGACAATAGGACATGTTAAACTTAGGTGTGTCCTCTAATCTGCATCACAGGTGTCTTCAAACTTGTCCTCAGTCAGTCTGTCTGTTTAAAGGGCGACATGTGTCATTGTGCTGTTTGGAGACATGATGGAGACAACACTGAACATGGACCAAAGAAAGAGAAGAGAACTGTGTCAGGAGACTAGAAAGAAAATGATAGACAAGCAGGATAAAGATAAACACAATAAGACCATCTCCAAGCAACGTGATGTTCCTGCGATTACAATTACACATGTTCTTCAGTAGTTTAAGGTCAACCTCCCTGGACACGGCTGCAAGAGGAAAACTGATGACAAATTGAAGAGGCGGATCATACAACTGGTATTCGAAGAGCCCAGAACAATCTCCAGAAAAATTAAATGTGAACTTGAAAGGCAAGGTACATCAGTGTCAGATCGCACCATCTGTCACAGTTTGAGCCAAAGTGGACTTCATGTGAGGACACCACTGCTGAGAGCAAATCATAAAAAAGTGTGACTGGAATTTGCTACAGTGCATATTAACAAGCCACAAAGCTTCTGGGAGAATGTCCTTTGGACAGATGAGACAAAACTGCAGCTCTTTGGCAAGACACATCAGCTCTATGTTCACAGATGCAAAAATGAAGCACACTAAGAAAAGAACACTGTCCCCACTGTGAAGCACGGAGGAGGCTTGGTTTTGTTTTGGGGCTGTTTTGCTGCATCTGGCACAAGGTGTCTTGAATCTGTGCATGGTACAATGAAATCTCAAAACTATCAAGGTATTTTTGAACGAAATGTGTTGCCTAGTGTCAGAAAGCTTGGTCTCAGTTGTAGGTCATGGGTCTTCCAACAGGATAATGACCCAGAACATACAGCTAAAAACACCCAAGAATGGATAAGAACAAAACACTGGACTGTTCTGAAATGGTCTTCTTTGAGCCAAGATCCCCAATTCTATTGAACATCTGTGAAATGAGCTGAAACATGCTGTCCTTCAAACCTGAGACAACTAGAGCAGTTTGCTCACGTGGTGTGGGAAATATTAAGTTAAGGGTACCATCATTTTTGTCCAGGCCAGTTTCATTACTTTGTTTTTCTTAATGATTCTATTTAACCACATGATTTATGTGTGATATGTATTATCACTTTTATCAGTTTCAAGTTATTTCAGTGATAATTGTTGATTTTTCTTTCATTGCCAGACAGGTACCAACAATTTTGTCCACATCTGTATATTCAAATGCACTTCACTCATCATCCATGATTTCCTTCACATTAGAATAAACTTCTTCTTGCTGCTCTGGGACACTTTCTTTCATCATGGCCGTCTCCTCTTTGTCCTCTGAGATTTCTTCGCTCACTTCATCCATGTCTTGCCTCGGCTCAGTTGTTTCTCTTTTGATTTCTGCATACTCAGTCTTGGTTGTCTCATCTTCTCCTCTCTTCCTCTGTTTTGTTGGTGTTATAGCAGAGAAGTTGATGCTTGCGTAATGTAATTCTGCTGGTTCAGTGTCAGCTTTGGACAGTTCTGCAGTGTCATAGTTGAGCTGTGAATTACAAAAGAATAAAAAAACATTCGTATGTAAATGCTTTTTAAACACAAAACTCAAAGAAGGCATCATTAAAGCTTATCTCAGACTACCCTTACATTCTGTTGTAGTGAAAGCCTTTGAAAAGCCAAACAGAACCAGTAACAAAAGACACAATGTAGTTTGTAGAGAAAATCTATTAGATCTATACCTTATTCAACTAGGTAAAGTTGATTCAGGGCACTTTAGTTTGGTTAATTAACTATGTGAAAATTTCCCCTCCATCAAATGCAAACCTACACAAAAACTATGTCAATCGTTTGTGCTTTGTTTGTGCTGCAAAAAAAGTTTTGTTTGTGCTGCTTTAGTTTTTCAAATATTAATGATTTTCAGGTCAAATTTGGGTCAGTTAGCCCCCAGGAAGCTTAAAAATGCTTTAAATGGCCCAAAATGGCATCAATCGTTTGTGTTTCGTTTGTGCTGTTTTGTGATGCTTTTATTTGTGCTATTATGGTTCTTAAGATATTAACTATTATTCCACCCCTGGACAGAAGTGACATGGGGCAGAAAATCATGTAATGTAATCAGCAGAAAAAAAGAAAAAAAAGAATTTATGTAATAGTTTGCAATTTTTTTGCACATTTTAACATAATAATAATAACAATAATAATAATAATAATAATAATAATAATAATAATAATATAACAATAACAAAACCATAATAGCTAATATATTAAGAACCACAATAGCATAAACAAAACCTTTCGCAGTACAAAACAGCACAAATAAAGCACAAACGATTTTGGGCTGTTTTAGAGCATTTTTTAAGATTCCTGGGGGGATGACCTCAATTTAACCAATAAAGAAGTCATTAATATCTCAAAAACTAAACCAGCACAAGCAAAACTTTTTGCAGCACAAACGAAGCACAAATGATTTACATAGTTTTTGTGTAGGTTTGCGTCAGTAGTGGAGATTTTTTTAAGTGGGGGTATGCAATTCATAACATCATCGATTTGATGAATACTGCCAGCCCAGTAAAAATCTGTAATATTTGTTGTTTTTTTTTTACTCAAAATGATGCAGAATCATGTCATTAACATTAATGCCATTCATAATTACCTACAAGACATAAATCATAGGCTACAACACATGAACCAGGACTAAACCAGAACTGAACCAAAACTGGATCAGGACTAAACCCAGGTCTAAAACAGGACTAAACCAGGACTGATCTTGGACTTGAGAGAGAAAAGGAGAACCCTGAGCCCGTGGAGCAGGGTGTATGCAAAGTGCATTCGGGCTACAGTTGCACTGAGCCCCTGGGGTGTGGAGCTCTGCGCCGGTCCTTCCTCCTGCGGTCACCTGACTACACGGGCGCCCCTCCGGACCCATCCGAACACTCAGTCCTGGTTCAGTTTTGGTTCAGTTCTGGTTTAGACCTGGTTTAGTCCTGGTTTAGTCTTCCTGGTTCAGTCCTGGTTCAGTCCTGATCCCCTCATGTCTCAGGTCAGTATAGGACAGTACTACAGATCTTGAGCTTATGCAGGTTGTTTTCACCATTGATAATAGCTCCAGTTTGACATTTAAGTTGTAGCTATTTTGTATTTGTTACATTTTTATATCACACATCAGGAGAAGTGGGTGGACGGCATACCCTCACGTATCACACCCACTACACCCCTGGTTTGTGTTTGATGGGGGACCAACTCCATGCAGGTCAGTTAACTTCTTCTAATGGGGACTAAAGTCTCGCCAAACTTCAGCTGAAACAAACCGAATCAAGAGAAAATATAATATATCCCTCGCCTGACATGCCGCTCCTTCGCAAATAGTGCGGCTTGCTCATTTGCCAAAGGAAAGATCCCTACCCAGTCTAGTACTTGTCAGCAAAAGTTAAGATGTATCAGATTTTACAAACATAACTGACATATGCACTGCACACTGGACCATTGGGGGCAGCTGACGAGGAATCAGAGCAGGAGACAAAGGCTACGTTCAGACTGCAGCGCTTAACGCTCAATTCCAATTTTTTTGTGAAATCAGATTTTTTGCGAGGTCGTTCACATTTCCAATTAAATGCGACTTGTATGTGACTCCAGTGTGAACATAAAAAAACACGAAAGTGTCCCGCATGCGCAATGGACGACACGATGATGTGAACTGCAGCAAGCGTGATCTGTGTTTACGGAAGTAAACGTGAGCATTGAGCACTTGGCGGTTTTAAAAGTTTCTTTTGTACTGGAGCCAGAACATGAACAACTTACTTGTTTTAAGGAGGAGATTGAGAAGGAGAAGGACAAGGTTTTTGGCCATGGCATTTTGTGGGACAGCGGCAGCAACGTCCGTTGAAAGGAACGTGTGGGTGCACAAATGTAGCCAAGAGTGGTCAGTGACATGGAGTTCATTAACAATTTTCGCCTACTTCAGTGCAGAATAGTGACGTTTGTGGTTTGTTGATAACGTGTAGGTGGATGAAAACACTTTGGACGTTCAGACTGAAGTCACATGTCAAAAGATCAGGTATGTATCGGTTTCAGGAGCACATATTCAAGTGTCCTGGGTCGCATTTGAAAAAATCGGATCTGTATCGTTCAGACTGTTATTAAAAGATCAGGTACATTATTATATATTATATTATGAATTGGAGTTTTTTAATGGTGTGACAGTGTTCCAATGTAAGTCAATGGGAGCCAGGATCAGTAGGAGTCTGAAGCGCCTGTATGCGAACTTCCTACATACAACACGGAGACTAGCGCGTTAGCTATGTCCATTTATATATCCTCACCACAACAGCTCAAACTAACCGAACTCGCAGGTGTGAAAGGTCCGTGTACCATCCGCTCTTTTGAATTTCAATTAAGAATGAAAAACAATAACATGGGAAACAGTTTGTTATTTAAATTTTTCTGTTTTAGTGTCAAAAAACAACAACATAAAAAAAAAAAAAAAAACGATTTTGACCTCTATTTTCAATATTTAATTTGAAGTTTATTTCAGATAACACTAATCAAAAAACAGTCTCTGTGCCTATTTCAATTTTGATATTTTATTGTCTCTGATTTATATGACCTGGGAGTACTGCTACAGTGTCAACCGTGGATCTATAATAAAAACTTTTTTTTTTTTTTATAGTTCTATGGTATCAACTGAACAAAGGAGAGTTTATCGCTGCTTCCCATTTGTCGTCATGACAATTATTTTCTAGTACACGGAAGTAAATGCATCGCTATAAAAGAAGAGGAAATGTTTGTCTATGAAATTGCAAGGATTTTTCAGGTAAGTCCCTCTAGCAGCAGAACTTTTTTTGAAATGAAATATTGGAAATACAGGTCGAAATCATTTTTTAAATTTTTATTTTTTTTTCTTTTGACAGTAAAAAACATTTCCCGTTTTATTGTTTTTTTGTTCTTAATTGAAATTCAAAATAATGAACAGTACATGGACCATGAAACTCCCCTCAGAATAGCCATTATAGGAAGAAGTAATAGCCTATTGAACATTAATCAGCTCCTGAGGACATCCTTTTTCATAGAGTACAAAACCCATTCTATTAGGGGTGCTGGTAGATCTAAAAAGCAATCGTGGACCAAAATGTACAAACTCACATAAACTCTAGAAAATAAAGAGCTGGTCCTGTGTTTTTATGTAAACACAATTCCACAAAAAAAAAAAAAAAAAAAAAAAAAAAAAACATAAACACGTCATAAACTGGTTTCGAATCATACATGACTTGAACTCCCTCTGTCAATCTCCACTAGCTCCCATCAAACTTCTGATTCCTAATAACAGGGCGACTGCATCAAAACTTTGCATGCCTTCAAAAGATTGTTAACATCCCAAAAACAAAAATATTAAATGCTATTTAGGTTCTGCTATGACAAATTAAAACAAAAAACAAAAACAAAAAAAAACTAAAAAAAAATTACCTCTGGTTCCTCCTGGTCATTCACCATTTCCAAAGTCTCAGTCATATCACCAGCTTGTAAATCATTGTTCTGTTTCCTCCTGAAAATAAAAGACTTGTTAGTATTTATGAGGAAAAAGGCTCTCTACATTCACGAGTTACTGTTACTGTACCTGTGGCATTTGAAGACCAAACAGCACAGAACAGCTGCCAGTAGAAACCCACTTAGAAAGCCAATTATGACTTCAAGCTTGGAGACAGTCTGGATTATTTGCTCAGGAGTAACTGCAAACACATAAAAAAACATACTTTCTTTGTATTGTTATCAGCCTGGGGAATTACTATGGGGAAAAATACGTTTAAATAATCATGAACATTCCCTAATATGTTAAACCTGCACTATGTAACTTTTTTCTATGGATATGTCATTGCTCTGCCTGGAATGTTCCACAGTATGACATTAAACAGATCTACCTTACATTTATTCCGTTACAGGCGATTTTATAGCTCAAAAATACTTTAAAAAAACAGGCATTCTGACTGTGGGCGGGGTTGCCTCTCCACAGATCTGACCTGTAACTTGGTCTGGTTTAGTCTCCATGAAGATAGAAACATTCCAGACGAAGCAAAAACATCTCCATGGCGACTAGAAAAGTTACACAATGCACCTTTAGAAAAAACACCATTAGTTTAGTCGCAAATATTTTTCATCATTTAATGTTTACTTTCACTTTAAAAACAGCATTGAAAACCATTTTTGCAGTAACTAGTATCTTGAGAATACATATTCTTATTTATAACCTATGTGATAATTTAACATTATTGTCCAAAAAAGGTGGTTTAAGCATTAATTTAGTTCTCAGTCTCGTTTACATGTCAGCCATTTTATGACATGCGCAGTACTCGGCTCCAGGGTTGACTTAAGCTTGGTTCCATATCCAGAAATGTTGGTTCTAGGGATGTTAATAATCTGGCAAAGTTTCATGCTTGTAATATAAAAGTGAACAATTGGGCACTTTTTTGGTCCTTAACAGCTCCCCTAATGTAAAACATTCCAGACGAAGCAATAACATCTCCATGGAGAAAAGCATTTGATGGATCTTCTACCGGGAAAGTTACAGAATGCACTTTTAATGTGAGTACACAGTTTTAATGAATGCAGTTTGAAGGCAGATATTATTTGAATGCGTCTGGAGATGATTTATGGTAGGGCTGTAGTGACTAAAGGAATTCTTGGTCGACAACAGACATGCCCTGCAAATCAATTAATCAACTAAGAAGAGAGTGTGGTAAAAACTCTTAAAACATTACGTATCTCTATGTATCTAACCCAGACTTCACTGACAAGGCCACAACTTATTCAAGCAAAAACAACTGTTTATGGAGAAACCTGTGACTCATGAGTATTGTGTTTGACTGACATTTGTCTTATTGGTCATGTTGTTGCTGGATTATATTTTAGAGCAGTGTTTCTCAAACTTTTTTTTTTTTCTGAGGACCCATATTTTAAAAGTCACAAACCTCCATGAGCCAAGTTAACACATGTTATGTGTAAATCACAAAATAAAGGTAGATGTGACCATTATTGAACATTAATGAGGATATTTTATTGTTAAGTGATTGTGTCTCTCCTCATATGGAAAAGGTATAGACAAATTATACACCATTTTAACATGTTTTATCTGAATGCTAAAAGATTTGTATATGACAGTGAAAACAGTTGCAAGATCTTTGATAAATATGAGCAGCATGAAACATATAAAACTTTGTAACCTGCAAGGGCTGAATATGACACTAATCCCACAGATGCAGGCATAGTGAACAGATGTTTCTGTACATTATGCCCGCCACTTAGTTATGTCACTCCATGTATGATTTCCCTGCCAGCATCTTATACCCTGTAGTTCTGTGCTGGATTATCTCAGGAGCCTCTTTGCACAGTCGACACTGTGGGTCTTGTCTGGTGTGGTAGATCTGGGCCTCTATTGCTCGAGTGCCCAGGGCCTGCTCCTGAGCAGCCAGGATCAGTGCCTCTGTGCTGTCCTTCAGACCAGCCCTCTCAAGCCATTGGTAGGATTTCTTGATATCAGCCACTTCAGTTATGTTCTGGTGGTTCGCCCCATGTAGGGGCTTGTCCTGCCATGATGGTCCCTCCAGCACCTCTTCCTCTGGACCCCACTGTCTGAGACATTCTCTGAGCACCTCATCTGTCGGGGTCTTGTCCTTGATGTACTCAAGGAGCTTGGATGTTTCATCCTGGACAGTGGTTCCCACACTCACTAGTCCTCGGCCTCCTTCCATACTTCCGGCCTGCGTACAGTCTCAGGGTGCTGGATTTGTGATGAAACTCTCCATGCATGGTCAGGAGCTTTCATGTCTTAACATCTGTGGCCTGTATCTCCTCCTTTGGCCAACTTATGATTCCTGGGTATCTGATCATTGGCAGGGCGTAGCTGTTTATTGCCTGCGCCTTATTCTTGCCATTGAGCTGCTTCTTAGGACTTGTCTCACTCTTTGCAGGTATTTGGCTGTAGCCACTTTCCTTTTTGCCTCTTCAAGGTACTTGTAACTGTCCTCAACATCTCCTATTGTTCTCCTTCAAGGTAGCTGCTGGTTAGCTCAGTTGGTAAGTCACTAGGCTTTTACATGGGTCACCTGGGTTCAAATCCCCACTCTCAGTTTTTTTATATATATATTTTTATATATAAACATATAATTAAAGAATACAAACATTACATGGAACATACAAAGAAAATGTAGTTTATCATGCACAATACCTGTAAATGCCATGCAAAATGCTCACTTTATCTTTACTAGTTTTTCATAATGTAGTTGTATGAGAAAAATGCAAAAGGAGCCACTTTCAGGAGTAAACCATACAGTACATGGCACATATCAACCTTATATAAAGATTTACTACCAAGACAGTGGTAAATTCTTAATTTTTTTTTTCAGTTTTTTTTTTTCCATATGGGTCTGAACAATTAGTATTACTCAAGTTTTAAACAATGAAAAACAATAATTGAACCAGTAATAAAAGGATCCATAAGTCGCCTATTTGGACATTACACATAGCCCATTTCTTTTTCTTTTCAACATTCAGTGGAACCAGCAATATTGGAACAAAATAGTCAATAAAATAATTACAAAAAGATAAATTATACAAAACATTAACTTAACATTTCAACTCTAATGAGATAGGTGGGCCTGTCTGCGTTTTTGTAGCGCATTCCTGTCCAGGGTGCAAGAGGAAAGCGCAACACGCATATCAGGCACAGCATTCAGTCTGATTTTGTGCTTTGTTTTTTTTATGAGCACAGAAAATGCCAATGCCACACAAAAATGTAGTAATGAAAGAAATAAGCTTGGAAATACTGGCCCTACTGAGGACAGGAATTTCACGCACTCTCTCATGTGTCAGAACTGTATATTTCAGACCTACATGCAGATCGTGATAAGGCGACCCAAAAAGAATCCTTCGAGACCCCCCTGAGGGTCAGGACCCAGTCTTTGGGAAAAAGTGTTTTAGAGGATAATAATTCTGATGAATTTGATAATCATACATTTTAAAGGATATTGATACACATACATTTGAGTATTTTTTAGAAGATAATGATGAAATTTGAAATTATAGATATTTAATGAATTTTGACAGTTTTAAATGTTTAATGATAAATTGGACAGTGGTTATTTTAAGGAGACACGATGATGTTGTTAGAAGTGGTTTTGTGTAAAGTCTCTTTAATGTCTTTTGTACCTGCCTAAGGACTGTAGATGAAAAGTATCTTGTAGCTAAATCTGGCACAGACCATATTTTCTCTCTGAGATTATTGTTTTCTGTGCACTGTCCATGTTTTAAATGATTGATTGATTGCATTTATATAGTGCCTTTCAAGATACCCAAAGCGCTTCACAGTTCATTATTCAGTCACTCCACACTCAGTGGTGGTAAGCTACTATTGTAGCCACAGCTGCCCTGGAGTAGACCAACGGAAGCGAGGCTGCCAATATGCGCCATCGGCCCCTCCGACCACCACTATCACTCACGCATACACCACTTTCATACTAGGCAATGTGGGTGAAGTGTCTTGCCTAAGGACACAACGACAGTTTTTGCCACTGGAAGAAATCTTCCTTAATATCCTTTTATATATTAATACCAAATAACACCAGATCTTCAGCTAACTCACTCCTCCTTTATGCTGTTGTCCCATATAAATCCTTATTATGTACATCCAATAAGTTGTCTACTTTACAGAAATTTACTAACACACCATCGACCAATCAATCTAAAAGCCCGCCCTCATTTATGGACTTAAAACTGCTCAAGATTTCTACCTGTAACACAACAACCCTGAGAAAATTTAATGAAGCTAAATGCTTCATTAAAGCGGAAATGGCGCAAGTCAAACCTCCAGGTTCATTATGAGATTTACAGAGGAACTATGCATATGTACAACTACACTTTGAGTAAAACAAGAGAGAAGTATTTTTCGGACATTATTGGTAATTGCAGTAACAACTCCCGTGTCCTGTTTGCAACAGTGAACAGATTAACAAACCCTCCAGCTCCACTGCCATTAGAACTAATTTCCACATCTAAATGTAATGAGTTTGCAGTTTTCTTTAATGACAAAGTTCAGGGCATCAAAAATGCCATCAATTCCACAACACAAATAACAAGCATGCAGCCACAGAGACACTTAGAGCTGAATCACTTTGCACCTGTAACTGACAAAACTGTTTTAGAGATTGTTACCAGTCTGAGTTCATCTACTTGCTGCCTGGACATGTTACCCACTAGATTTCTAAAGTCTGTCCTCAACAGTTTACTTTCACCACTCACTCACATAGTTAACATGTCACTTCAATCTGGAACATTCCCAAACGTGTTGAAAACTGCGGTCATTAAGCCTCTCCTAAAGAAGAGCAGTCTTGATGCCACAGTACTGAACAATTTCCGACCCATCTCAAATCTGCCGTTTTTTGGCAAAGTCCTTGAAAAAGCTGTTTACCAACAGCTTACGAACTTTCTCCAAATGAACAACTCCTTTGATGTTTTCCAGTCAGGTTTTAGAGCCCACCACAGCACTGAGACTGCTCTTATCAAGGTGACAAATGACATCCGCCTGAACACTGATGCAGGCAAAGTCTCAGTCTTGATCCTGTTAGATCTGAGTGCTGCTTTTGACACTGTCGATCATGGGATCCTCTTACAGAGACTAGAGGACTGGGTGGGCATCTCTGGTACTGCACTAAACTGGTTCAAGTCCTATCTAGAAGACAGGAAGTATTTTGTTGAAATTGGAAACTGTGTCTCAGATCACATGGCCCTGACCTGTGGGGTGCCTCAGGGGTCAATCCTGGGCCCCCTGTTGTTCAATCTCTACATGCTGCCATTAGGCCAGTTAATAAGCAGCAATAACGTGTCCTACCACAATTATGCAGATGACACTCAGATCTACGTCTCTCTGGCAGCAGGAGACTATGGACCAGTGGAGTCACTTGGTCACTGCATCCAACAGATCAGTGTGTGGATGCAAAACAACTTTCTCCAGCTAAACTCTGACAAGACTGAAGTCATAGTGTTTGGTCCACAGAAACAAAGGGACAGTGTCAGCAGTCACCTCCAGTCTCTCTCTCTAAAACCTTCAAATCAGGCAAGAAATCTAGGGGTAATAATGGACTCAGACTTGAACTTTAACAGTCCACATAAAATCAATAACATCTGCAGCCTTTTACCATCTAAAAAACATAGCGAAAATCAAAAGTTTACTGTCTAAAACAGACTTGGAGAAACTTATCCATGCGTTTGTCTCCAGTAGGTTAGACTACTGTAATGGTCTGCTCACTGGTCTCTCCAAACGAGCTGTGAGACGCTGCAGAACATCCAGAACGCTGCAGCTCGGGTCCTTACTCGAACTAGGAAGTACGAGCACATAAGTCCTGTGCTCAGGTCTCTGCACTGGCTTCCTGTGCCTCAGAGAATAGACTTTAAAGCAGCTCTGCTTGTGTACAAGTCTCTCCATGGCTGAGCACCAAAGTACATCTGTGACATGTTAGTGTCATATGAACCATCTCGCACTCTGAGGAGCTCAGGGACCGGCCTCCTGCTGGTGCCCAGAGTCACGACTAAACAAGGGGAGTCAGCGTTTCAGGTTCATGCAGCTAAAACCTGGAACAGTCTTCCTGAACATGTGAGACAGACTCTTCTGTGATGCTGTTTAAAGCCAGGCTCAAAACATTTCTGTTTAACTGTGCAAATAACTGAAAGATTTTCATTCCGCACTCTTCTCTCCAATTTATGTCTCTCTTTTTTAATTTTAATCTTCATGATTATTTATGTTTTTGATTTGTTTTTATTATGATTTGAATGTATTTCTTATTCTGTAAAGCACTTTGAATTACTTTGTGTACGAATTGTGCTATACAAATAAACTTACCTTGCCTTGCCTTGCCTAAATGCAACTTTATGTTCTTGTTAAGAAAACTGTTACTTTTTGCATAACATTACTCCTTTAAAAACAACAAAGCTGCATACCTGAGGGGTTTGCTGTGTCAGTGATGATGGAGGGTGTGAAATCCTCCTGGACGTGTCCTGCTCTGTTGCTGCTCTCACACATTGGACTTGTGTTCTGTTGAGTCCTCTCCCTCTGAGGACGAAGCTGCTGTTGACTGTGTCTCCTGTCACCACGGTAACCAGTGAGTACTCAGACTGGTCCTGGAGCAGAGTCCATGTGACAGAGGGGACAGGAGAGGCCCGAGTCACACACACACACACACGCACGCACGCACACACACCTCAGGACCTCCCCGTTATACACACAGCCAGAGGAGTTCACAATGTGGGGCTTCCCTGGAAAATAAAATGAGTAAAAAATAAACAGAGCATCAATATGAAGTGACTGGACTTTGTTGAAACTGTAAAATTAATGAGATAGAGAGAATACTTGGATTAAACCATGGTGAGAAACATTAGCCAGGCTTGCTAGGTACAATTTCTCTGCATAAGTGTAATGTATATTTGACTGCCCCAGCACTACCCTTTGATTAGAGAAATTTGTCACCCGCATATGACCCATGATCAAAATCATTCCATTCCATTTTCTTCTGCTTATCTGGGGCCTTGTCGCGGGGGCAGCAGTCTGAGCAGGGCCTCTCAGACTTCCCTCTCCACACACACTTCCTCCAGCTCCTTCGGGCGGATCCCGAGGTGTTCCCAGGCCAGCCAGGAGACATAGTCCCTCCAGCGTGTCCTAGGTCTTCCCCGGGGCCTCCTTCCGGTGGGACGTGCCAGGAACACCTCTCCAGGGAGGCGCCCAGGAGGCATCCGGAACAGATGCCCGAGCCACCTCAGCTGGCTCCTCTGGCTGGCTGTGGAGGGACTGCGGCTCTACTTCAAGCTTCTCCCGTGTGATTGAGCTCCTCACCCTATCTCTATGGGAGCACCAAGCCACCCTGCAGAGGAAACGCATTTCGAGCGCTTGTATCCGCGATCTTGTCCTTTCGGTCATTAACCAGAGCTCATGACCATAGGTGAGAGTAGGAACGTAGATTGACCGGTAAATCGAGATCTTTGCCTTTCGGCTCAGCTCCCTCTTCACCACAGCGGTCCAATACAGCGACCGCATCACTGCAGACGCTGTCAATCTCACATTCTGTCCTTCCCTCACTCGTGAACAAGACCCCGAGATACTTGAACTCGTCCACATGAGGCAGGAACTCTCCACCCACCCGGAGAGGACAAGCCACCTTTTTCCGGTCGAGAACCATGGCCTTGGACTTGGAAGAGCTTCATCCCAGCCACTTCACACTCACTTCACACTCGGCTGCAACCTGCCCCAGTGCACATTGCAGGTCCTGGTTTGATGAAGCCAACAGAACAACATCATCTTCGAACAGCAGAGATAAGATCCTGTGGTCACCTGACTGCGCCTAGAAATTCTGTCCATAAAAACAATGAACAGAACCGGTGACAAAAGGCAGCCCTATCAGAGTCCAACATGCACCGGGAACAGGTCTGACTTACTGCCGGCAATGCGAACACAGCTCCTGCTCCGGTCATACAGGGACCGGACAGCCCTTAGCAACGAACCCCGGACCCCATACTCCCAGACAGCACCCCCCACAGGACACCACAAGGA